TATTGGGCGTAATCCATTTGGAGTATCAGCTTGTGGGCTGAAGCATTGCTTGTTTCAAGCTGGTGTGGCAAGATGAGGCAAGTAAGAACAGCTGCATAGGATTTAGGCTGACTATTTCTATTGCATGTGGAGGGTTGGCATTGGCTCTTGGGCTGATTTAAGAGTCAAATACTGCTACATTACTAAATGTTGTGTCTTTGCCAATCATCCGCCCTTGGTAGATTTCAAATTGTAAATTCAATTCAGAAATCATAATCACAGTAAAGCTAGTCAAGAAATCAAACGTTTACTATCTCTAAAAAATTGTTGAAAAAATGTGTGAAAAGTGCGATTTTGGAAAAGTACCTCTGCTATAAGCTAAGGTCTGGACTCTGGAGCAAAAAAAAAAAAAAATATTCGCTGTATTAAAAAATTTTACTTGCATAAAAGTTGCACCCAGGTGTCAGCTTGAAAATGTTATTGACGGAATTTGCCTATCTCATTCCAAAAAATGGCTGCCATTTCCGCACAGCAGGGCCAGGGCTACTTGGGACACCCCCCGGGGTAATTAGGGACACCCTTAAAAATGCATTTACAGTAGAACCTCAGCAAAGGTTCCAGTTAACAAAAAAATTGATTAACAGCAAAGAATTTTGATTACATTTACCTCAATCAGCGAAAGAAAATTCACTTATCAAAAAATTAGTGCATCATCGGTCGTCACAAAATTGCACATAGAATGCTATATATAGAATTGTGCACCGGGCATCATAGAATGAAAAGTAATTGACCTAAACTATGATTTATTTCTCAAAAACATATGATGGTTGTCACTAAAACATTATTTTCTGTTTCAGATATGTTTTTCATAATCTTTTTTGTTATAGGTAGTGAAATCACTTTACTCAATTAAAATTGTGCGAAATTACAAACCATCCTGTAAGCTTACAGATACAGAAGAAATGCTACATGGCTGCTGATATGAAGCTTGCAGTGGACACGGTCGTTGTCAATGCTCAATGGCATGTCCATGGAGATAGTAATATCACATTAATAATACAGGAATTAATGAATATGGTAATATTATATCAATGAAGGAAAAACAAGTAAAAATCACAGAAAAAGTCATTTATTTTACATCTACGTCATCTACAATGAAAGAGGAGGACTTCAAATTACTGTTAGTAATGGATGAGTACACTCTGCATGCTTCAAACATTTTAAAATTAACTTTTTTTTTGCAAGTGTCCCGGATTACTCCGTTCCCAGGGGTAAATCAGGACGGTTTTATTTTGCGTCTGGCACCTTACGAATAGCATATAGAATTTTTTTAAAGATGCCATTGGATAGCCCTCGCAAAGAGCTATAAAGTGAGCCTAGACTTGTTTCTGAAATGTTTCATGGTAAGAAGTTATTAACAAAAAAATGCTCAAAACCGTCCCTTTTTACCCCGTTTGACGGTATGGATGTACCTAACTTTACTGGCTGACTTTATTATGATGGCAAAAATTTAACATTGCAAAATGTAAACTATAATTATTAATTCAATCTTAATGGTCAACTTTTAGGGTGCTTGAACATTTGTGTAAAATAAAGATGATAATTAGTGTAAATTGCTAAATGTATCCTTGACTCAATACCAATACCAAGTTGACTACAGACACCACTGCAGACTGTGCAAGCAGCATTGCCACTTGCCAATATAGATATGGATCTTTAGCCCAAAGTGTCACCAGCCATTTTCAAAATCCATCACTGGGTAATTTTTAATAAGAAAATACTGCTAACAACTTTGATAGGATATCCCTTACTCTCCACGCACTGTGTTGAGAGATCAAGGATCGAAAAAAATTGGGCAATCCTAGCTTTATTGAACAAATGCCCAGTTACCTGGAAACATAACAACTAATGTAAAATACCTACTTATAAATGCAACACTGAACAATATGAATATAACATAATTCAGTAACAGAGGAAATATATAACGGTTAACAAGTAAGATTAGTAAAGGTAAGGAATGACTGGAATGTTGCACTTAGCACTTGCATCATAAAACAGCAGGGGTCAGGAGTCTCAGGCCCATTTGTACTGGCTATTGCAATTGCATAGAGAGTTAGAGAGTGAAAACACTATTTGGAGCTGGACCACATTAAAACTTGCTACATGACGTGACGCGTGACTGCACTAGTTCTTTAATATGACACACTGCATCATGAATCATGATCTTCTTCTTCTTCTTTTCAAGGTGTCCACGTTGGGTGGACTGACAGCCACAGGACAGCCACAAGGATGACCGTTGGGCCTGAGAGCTTATGTTATGTTGGACTTCTTGGTAAGGAAAGCTGGCCTCTTTGTCCTTGTTTGTACAAGGTCAATAGAGGTGATGGATGAGCTTGACAGCATGTAGGAGAGAATTTACACATGACATGGTTAAGTTACATGCACACAGAACACAGATGACTGTATGCAGTCGCTCAGAAAAGTTTCACATGACATGATCATTGCTCCTCAGAACTGAGCACTAGATTCAACAGTTAAGTTAGATAGATTTATATACATAGAATGACATAGATTATGCACGTACACAAACGTATACAATATACATAGATACACTTGTACATATATAAGCTTCATTTTGATATTTTGGCACCTATCTAAAGTTCACTGAGCCTCCCTGATTTAAAAATGAAAACAGTCAAAAATTGAAAGATTTTCCTTTGCACATCATCATTAAAGTTCCCTCCCCCCAAAAGTTCACACAGGGAGAATTGTACATTTATACATCTTAAATTAGTTTCCAGGTCTAGTCTGGGCTGCGCATGTTGCTGACAATGCAGCAGATAGTGCTCAATTGTGTCCACTGTGTTGCAGGTAGTACATTGGTCAGAATCGCTCATGTTGAATCTGTGCAAGTGACTTCTGACGCCAGCATGTCCAATCCTGAGTCGGGCAGCAGCACACTCTAGTCTAACTGGTGCCTTGTGTGACAACACCTGTCTCATGACATATTTCGTTTCCTGCCATGCTCTCAGGACAGCGCAATATTTTTAGATACCACTTCATGAACAGGTAATCAAATCTGACCTCCAGTGGAGGTATATGGGCTTCAATCTCCAAAGATGATATAGGAGAGGTGTTCATGATCATCATTCATGATCATCATTCATGATCATCATTGCAACTGATTCCAGACAAGCTTCACTGCATCCTGATCCAGTGTTGGAATTTTCCTACTCAATTCTGAAATCTGGCAGCTCCAACGTGACAAATTTTTAATACAATTTGGAATCTCACGGCCCGATTGTACACTTTTGTTAACAATTAGATAGGAGGTAATTCATCTGGTGGAAATCTCGTGGTTCCGGAAATGGCAAGAAAGCTCCAGTCGTGGCCCTAAAGGTAGATGTTTTCCATGCTTGTCCTGATCCATCCAAAATATTGGAAACCTTATTGTGTACACTTGCGGTCTTCCAGATTTCTAAAATGCAATAATTTCAATCCAAATGTGTTGGCAAGATCTTCTTAAGGCGTAAATTTTGCTGCTGATGCATTGCCAATAATTTTTTTATATTCACCTACTTTCTAAACCCTGGTACAGACACAGAGTATTGACCAATTGTTATATTGAGATCTTTAGAGTCGTGTCAAACAGAAGAGTTTAACATGTTGCAAACACTGTGATTGTGAACTGAGGTTGGGTAGAACTTGCTTTTGCATAGCAATTAAAGATTTGAAAGTAATGAAAGCAAGATCAGTGAGATGTCAGCATAGATGTCACTGAGATGTAATCTGATGTATAAGTGTTGAAAATGTGAAGTAATGATGTTTTTTGTTTTATAGATAAACTTATTAGAAATGAAATAAAATTTACTTCAATTTTCTGGAGAATAAACTGTATATACCCATCATAAATAACACAATTAGGTCTAGGGAGGAAAATATCTATGGGGAAAAAACCCTCAGCTGGCCTCAGGTATAAAGTTATATTTGTAATTTTAAACAAATCAAAGGTGAAAATGTGTTCTTTGTTGGTTAATTTGTTAAAAAAAGAAATTAAGCAAGAGCTGCAAAAATGGGTGAAATTAACAAAGCATGAGCCTCTTTGTTTTTGCAAATTGCAGGTGTCTTTCTACGAATTTTCTAGCATTAAGATAGGATTGGAATTTTACTACTTTATATATAAATGAATGAAATCTTGCAGCTCCAAAGTAACAACTTTTTCATACATTTGGAATCTTGACTAACAATTGGGCAGGAGTCACCTGTGAATCAGATGAAAATGCCTGTTAATCTGGCTAGTTTTACCTGTTCCTATGCAGCTCTTTTACAAATGTCTACTGGGAAAAATGGAGGAAAACTGCCTATTTTCACCTAGAATATTGAAAAATCACCCTGAAATGATGGTTTTTACCTGCAATTTTAGGAAACTTGTGGCCAATAATTCAGGTTGGGAATCTTGTGGCCAATTACACATATTAATTATGAATTAGATAGGAGATAATTCATCTAGCAGGAATCATGTGGCTCTGAAAATGGAAAGCTCTGGTTTGGGACTTGAATGGTATATTTAAATTCTACTCCTGACTACCTGAGAATGCCAGGTACAAGGCGCCCTAAAAAATTGGGAATTGAGGAGGATGCTTTTTAGTTAAAGCCAAATTGCTAGAATGGCCACCTTTAAAAAATTCTATAACCATTTAGGATAAGAATTTTCAATGCAATATCCAAAAATGTTCATGTTGTAATTCATCTGAATTGATATTATTTAGTTTATTTGTTCAATGTGAATTTCTTAATACGTACTAGGCCTATTTTGGCTAAGCTCGCTTTTTCTGGCTTTAGTCACCCTGATTTGATTAAAATTTATTGTTTAGAATATTGGCAATTTGCCTCGTTGTATTTTTAGCTATTGTAGGCAAAATGTGTAAATTAAAAATGACTCAAAGTCAATTAATCTGACACGGCTAATGACATCTACTACTTGTATGATAATTTCCTGCCATCTAACATTCCATTTGATTGTATTAAAATTTCAAATTTTTTGCAGATATTATCATCATGATCCCATCCATGGATATAAAACGAAGGTTAGGTTCAGTCTTGCCAAAGAAATTTCAAAATGAGATGGTGAAGTTTCACTTCAACCAACCAGTTTATATAACTGGTGAGACTTTAATGAGCACTACAATGTTAAATTCAAATCCAAGTGGACCAATGAACATTGTAGATCCTAAAGTAAGTTTTGAATAACTAAGTTTATTTAGTGCACTATTTTCATTGGCTTTCACAGACAGTTTTAAATTATTGATTATTTTTTAGCTAAGAAACAGTTAATCAATGCCTGGCAAAATATGGTAAGTTGAGTGACACAGCAATGTTTGCTGTGTACAAATGAATATTGTTATTTTTTAGTTTATGCTGTCATTGTGCAGCAGGTGTCTATTTTCTGTTGAGTTTTCCATTGTTCTATATCCATTGTTCTATATGCTCTAACTATTGATTTGTAGCAACTGGCAATTTTTTGCCCATTGGTCATTGAACAGCAATAGGTACTTTCTTAGTGTGTTAATGCTGGAAATAGCACTGTCATTGCCAATGGTGCCAGTGTTCCTTGCATGTATAACCAGTGTATAAAAGTCAAAAGGAATTGAAAGTTTAAGTGGTTAAATTGAAGTTGCTTTATGCCTAAGGTATTATTCATAGTCTACTTATTTAAATCTTGACATACTTATTTAAAGAATATTTGTAATATGAATAATTTTTTACCCTAATTGGCAGCCTTTAATTTATTAAGATAATTTCCGATAACAATAGAATAGATGCTGTATACATCCCCCATAATTCATGCCAGTCTTCAAACAGTTAGATACCAGAAAATCTACATTTGAGAACATTGAATTTTAGTCAACCAGCACCTGAAGCCAGTCATCCACTCAGAGTTGCACCAGTTCAACTTAAGAGGAATGAACAAAATTCATCTACTTTTGTAACTGTTTTTGCTTGGTTTGTACTTATTTATTATTTTGACCAGGTTATTTATTTATTTAATATCTGGATTGGTATTGTGCAGGCCAATTATGTTGCTGCAGCTGATTTGGAGGAAGGAAAGCACCGGTACCTGGTATCTGGCCGGTATGATGGTAGCATGGCTGTGCATGACTTGCACACCACAACCCTCCAGACCATCAGCCCCATCTCTAGGACAGTCTTCCCATGTGTTGTCCAAATGCAAAACATGAAACCAAACCTTCACAAGAAACCTGTGAGCTATTCAAATTTTTATGTGTATGTAGTATGCAAATTTTAATTATGTAGTATAAAATAAATCTGAGACATGCTAAAACAAAAGATGGGAATTTAGAGCTATTCTTTGCCGCCATATATTTGTGCTCATTTATAATTGAAATAATTTTTTTTAAATAATCTGTTAAAAAGAAAGTTTGATCAAGATTACTGTCAAATTAGGTTAATAAATGGTGAAACCCTAACTTTACCTTAATATGTTACATATCGTGTCTGTATGGAAACCGGCATATATGAAGATTATTTTCATTAAAAAAGGCTAAGAAGAACCGCATAATCACATCAATTTGTCTGTCACCATTAATTTTGATGACAAATTTGATTCTAAAAATGAATGGTGCACTTCTTTGTTTGGTCAATTAGGAATTGGACTTGAGATTTTACTGCTTTAATGTTTGTGAAATGGCAATTTTTCAGTATGTTTACATATTAGTGAGATGTGTCATCAATATACCTGGACCCTGGTAATGGTTCCTTGTTCTTAATTTGTTATGAAATTTTTGTTTGACCTGATAGAAATGACAAATAATTTTTTTATACTTTGCAAAGTAGTATGACCCCAGGGTGTATAGTGTTTTTATTTTTCTCTGTGATTATGTACTTTTTATCAGGTGACACGAGTTCAGTGGTATCCAGGAGACTACGGTCATTACAGCACATCCAGCCGCCATGAAAACACTGTCAAACTTTGGGACCCCAACAGAGAATGCATGACAGAAGAGTTTAAATTTGAAAATTTTACTGTTGCCGACCACGCATATTCCTATCACCAACCCATCATTGCTGTGTCTATTGGGGGTAAGTGAGCTTTTCTCATGCTACTTATTGTAATTTCGATTTCAATCACACTAGCATTTTGCATTTATAAATGAAAATTTTGCTTCTAAACATAACTTAATTGTAAAGCTCATAGCAAATGTATAAAGATTTTACTTAATTTCGGCTGTAGAAGATTTAGTTTTTAATTTTTAAGCCTTAAAAAATTATGTATGGTAAGAATATGATGGAGAGACGTTGTTATCACCCATTAATATATAGAAGTGAGATTCTATCTGGAATCTATCTGGACCTTTTTTGTCAAATTATCTTCATCGCATCTTTGCAAGTTTTAAATAACTATAAATTTTCTCAATTTTTGCTTCTGAAGAATTCTTTGGTCTTGGTCTCCGTTTGTCAAGAAGAAGTCGATAGCTCATCCAATATGCGTTTTATTTTTTTATGTTCATAGTTGGAATTAAATATAGCACGCTTGATTGCACACTCATTGCAATTGTATCTTCATGTATGTCTCTAGCTAATCTAACCACTTTTTGCCACTCAGGGGATGTTTGCATTATCGACTTACGCACTGGACACATCGGACAAAAAATGCAACGACCAAAATTAACAGCCAATAAATTTCGCCATTCTGCACAACAGCCTGCAAATGAAGATGCGCAGTCATCTGGAAAAATTGACTTATTGCCCGATATCTCACGATTTTCGTCGGGAAGAACCGCTTCGGCGTGGATGGCGAATCTCGACCAGCAAATAGAAGTCATGCGGTCAGCATTACAGCTTCGAGGAGCCAGCAGAAACGAGAACAATGAAGCTTTCCTTGGCTTTGACCGTGCATCGACGAGATCTGCGTATCGAACGTATCGACTCGGGCGTGAACAGCAAAAATGTAAATTTTTGGGGGCAGACGTCGAGCTAAAATCGACGTGTGTGCGTTTTCATCCTGCTATCCCATCTGTCGTAACCGCAGGCTACTCTGATGGAGCTGTTGTGTAAGTTCTTGTGCCAACAATCATAGTGGCAATTGGCAAAGCAGAGAGTTTTTTAGACTCTGTCTCAAGTTCATTTTTGAGTCCTATAAGTAGACCAGTAAAGTATCATGGATAGGTACCATCATTATTATACTTAAGAAATTAGGTAAAATCTTGAGTAAATGAGGAAATTAAAAATGAACTGATTCTAACAAATCTCTGGTTTGTCACTATGCCAACAATACGACTGAATGTCTTACCCTGTACTCAATGATTTACGGAGTGTGAAGCTAGCTTTTCTTATTCACGATTTTCCACGACTAAGAAATTTAAAGTTGCTGAAAGACTAGTTACTTACTACTGTAATTGATAGAACATTTTTTCTTCCTTTGCAACTGTACTTATGTGAGTTGATGTAAATCGTCTTCAAAATCACTGGTTCAATAATAATCCCAAGATTGAACGTGTGCGGTTGAAATTAAGTGCGAATCTATAATCGGCTGAGAAACATTGGTCAACGTAAATGTTCGTTCGAGTTAATTCTGCATCAATGAATAACATCCTATCTAATGAATATATTGTCATCAATTCATATATGATTATGTCTCTGATATTTTTAGACAGAGGTTTATTGATTGAGTTGCTAACATTTTTCTCGTAGGATTATGGTGGAAAATGCATCTCAATCACCACAATCTTAAACTTGATTTACCCGCATTATTTACTAAACAACTTTTTGCTAAATTGTTTCCCCGAATAATTCGTGTTGCCTTGTTGCCTAGGCTTTGTGTGCAACATTCCTCATTCCACATTGTTCTTATTTTGGAACTATATTATCTTAAATAGTCACTTTCCCTGAATGACAGACCGTCTAATTGACCTAGATCATTTGACATTCAAAGCTTGGCTGTAGCAAAGTTAGCCATTAGGATCTTGCTAAATATTCATTCGAGAACACCATAATGTTAAAATAATGGTATTTGAATCTTGCAGATTGTGGGATGTGCGCTCGAGCCGTAGCTATATCTGCAACATCATGGATGGTTTGCCGGAGCAGTCAAAGCGACCGACAGATTCGTTAGTTGGTAAGAGCTCCTGGTCGCTGTGTGAGATCATTCACGAATAATTATTAAAACTGCTTTAATGATTGCATCGAAGGCCGTAGAACCTGCTTCCCTGTACCAAGAGAAATACGATGGCGCACCCGAATTAAATACAAAGCATTGAATTTTTGATCCTGGATCCGAAGGTATTTGTAAAATCACGGGCTATGAGCATGTAAGAATTATTTTTTCGCTATATTAACTCGAAATGAGTTTTTTTTTACACAAATTGATGGCTTTACATTGATTTTATGTGCGTCACAGTGTATTATGTAAGCTTTCACGTTGAGCAGGAATAAGATACTCCCATGACGGTCATCACTTGGTGACGTACACCGCGCGACAAGTGTCGGTCTGGGACGGCCTCAGCGGAGAATCCAAGATTGCTCGTATAAGTTTCGATCAATGTAAGTGCACAACCAATGTCATCGCTCCAACTTCCTCTGCATTTAAAATAATGAGTTATGAGGAAGGCGATATTACGACGCACTACTTTTCGCATGTAACCGGCGCGCGTCAACCTTCTACTGATGTTTAATAAGTCTCAGTGAATTGCTCATCTACTAACTTATCTACTCGTTCTATTCCAGGTCCGAAGTTGACGAGTTGCGGATGCAATGGGATAAACGAATTACAGATTTCAACCGCCGCAAGCCGTGCCTTCATGAATATTGGCCCCGGAATTTTTGTCTTTGACCTAATTTCTGGTGCTCAGCTGTCACGGTTCCGGGGAGGGCACATGAGATCCATCTCCGGTCTAGTCCTCGACAACAGTCAACACCGAATTTTTTCCTATGGCATTGACGCGAACTTCATTTCTTGGAACTTCCAATCGAAGGAATTTTCGAAAACTGTCAAGACGAAAGGAATCCCCGCTGATCAGCCCAGTGAAAGACGTTGGCATGAAGAGGATGCTTGGAGCTCCGATGAAGATTAAGTGTGTTGTACAGTTCAGAATTTTCTCGAGTATCTAGTTGTTGTCTTCGTTCTTTTTACTTTTTCATTAAGAATCTTTTTTGAAAAGGCCTCTGAATATCCTTTTTTGAAGTCATTGGAACAAAGGTTATATCATATCTTGGACAAGGTTGTGAACAGCGTTAAATCACTACGTCAGAGGGGTAATGAAATAAGAAATTATTTTTGCAAAGTTTGTTTACTTACTTGAAGGAAGAAAGGGGTACATTTTTGACTTGGTACTGATGCCCAGATTATTTTTGTTAAAGTTCATAGAATGAATGATGTATCATTTGCCATCCCCCACAATACTCGTCCGTCGCATGGAAATCAAGTGAGAACTATGGAAGAGGACAAAACCAATTTGTCGATACAAAAATGAAAAGCTTAGACAGGTAATAAAAAATACGAACAAAACACGCCGAGTGAGATAGTCACGTCGACCATAAATACTTTTTAGAGCGTACACAGGTGCAGCAGCTTGTCACGAACAGAAACGTACGGATCAATCACAGCCTTGTTTGTAGATTAATTTTTAAAAATGATACAGCGTCGAGATCAACAATTACAAGAGTACAATTATCGAGTCGTCGCTACACTATTTCTTTGGCAGTGGAGTCAACCTAGTCACAGGACCACTTAAATAACAATTACCACCCGGCAAGCCAAGTAGATCTCTGACTTGTCGGAAATGATGAGCGAAAATTACCCATCCGCCAAGGTTATTTAGAAAATCTCAACATTTGTAGAAATAATTGCTCTGATAATTTCTACAAGCGCGGCATAAGGACACGAAACGATGAAAAAAATGAGCATGCTGGAACTTGCGAACATGTACTTAGCGAGCACATATTGCCACAGGCTCAGTATCAGGAATCACGGACGGATCTCGACTCCAACATAAGCTATGAAAAAGATGCAAGACCAATTCTTGGTAATGGAAAACGTGTCTAGGAAAGCGAAATTGGAGTTGCTCTAAATATTTCCAGTTAGAATATCACAGTCGGTTGAACTCAGTTCTGAGTCGGTGTTGCTGAAAAGCCCCCCGAAAAAGTTATTCACTAAGTTATAAAGATACGGCCAGGTCAAACGCCCGCGATATTCCGCAACAACAGCTCTCAGTTGACACGTCAACACTTAATACTCGTAAATTATACAAGGGTGAAGTAGTCCACATTATGCATATCAACGCCAAATACTATAGCATAGGTCCATAAGAACATTAGTCATAGTTTCCAATCAGATTCGCATAAAGTTATTTTAGACCGATAAAAGAACGCACCAGAAGCACTCAAGTAATCGAGTACAATAATTTATTCTGGAGCTGACGTTCTCTCTGAAGCTCTCTGACATCACAGCACCGCGATTTTCTTGAGTATTACTGCTCACCACACAAGTTTGCAAACGTTCAAATATTTCTAATGTGGAACGTTGAACGTGTAAGACATAGAATCAAGATGCGACTGTAATTAATAAAGTAATCCGGGTATCACGATAACGAGAAAACGTCGCAAATTGAGAAGTAGGTGCACTACTTGACAATTTCCTGATATTAAAAGCGCTTGTACGAAATAATAAGGTGCTCTTCGCAGAGCCTGGTCGCTCAGGGCATTAAAAAAGTGATAAGAGGATGAATGAAAATGGTATTCTTTCAGGGGGCTTAGCATCAGAAGTTTTGTTCAACTCTTGACAGCGATTTTCTCTTCAGAACTCAGAGGTACGCAAGCGTGAAAATAACGGCCAAATCTCGCAAAATCATGGTCAAACAAGACCCAGTCGAAAACTTGCCGAATGTTAGGTACAAATCCGCACTCCAGCGTGCTGCATCTCTATAAAAATAATAGGCGAAGAGATTCGTACACGAAATACCAACCGGTCTCGATTTGTATACAAGAATTAGTAATTAGAAAGAAGGGTCACTGCATAGCTAAGTAATAAATGAGGCGAGCATTGTACACTTGAGAGGCCACCTGGCAGAGGCAGACACGGGCAGCTAACTTCATCATAAACTGCCAACTCCCTAAATATCACAGACAAAACGAGTGGGTCACTCAATAAGAACCCACTCAACAAGACCATCGATTGCCTCTCTTTTATAGGGCAAATTTACTCAACGGAACCACATCCGTGTAATGATATGAAGCACGCACATAAATATAGTCTTTCCATCAAACTTCATAGGCACGCTTCATCATGAAATTAGGCACACAACGCAGCAGGAAAGCGTTGTTTACAAGGCGTGCCTGAAGGACTTGTCAAGTTCTCTACAGCCAGTTCTCGATGCCAGCCAAGGTCTGTGTTGAATTCTGAGGGTCACGTCACAACCACTGCCAGGAAGACGAGATGCTCACAGGAAAACAATTTCAGTTTGCAAGAGAATCCGGTCAGAGCTTTCGATACAACGAGACAAGAGAGCGCTGCTATTCAATCGCTTCCACCACTGCACTGCGGTCACACATTCTCCAATGCATGTGCAAACGTTCGTACTATTAGACAAACTACTAAATTTGGTCCCTAACTCAGGATTGAGTAAACTCTACTCTCACTTGCTCAATGCATACGTTACAAAATAATCCAGTGCATCTATAAAAACTTAATTTTTTGAAAAAGAATAACATATGGGCATCAGAAGGTCTTTTGCGATAGACAAATATGCCCCTCTCGAGTTGTATGCAAAGTCTAATTTTAAACATGACCATACTTTCAATGGGGCCACACATGGGAAATCCCGAGTGCAGTACTTAATTCAACATGTATCAATAATAAGCATACAAGGACGAGCCAACTCATTCAAGATGAAAGGTGGCATACAATTTAGAACCATCCATCAATAAAGACGCATGATCACAGAAGCGCCTTCAACGACACGGAACAGCAGCCATAATCAAATCTAACAACCGTATTAGATTTTCAGCATTAGAGCAAATACAGCACCGATGTCTCGTATCCAACACACTATCACAAGGGACGGCAAATATTCGGCAATAAGAACTTATTAGTGTCTGGTACGAGTTACATAAATGAAATCTAGGTTGACCGAGTTGTTACCGTACGGAACTATAGTTACATAGACTGCGTTGTTTTCAAACTCACTTGAGTGGAAAATTAGGGTCATTTCCTGCACCTTTCCCAGTAGAACAGCGCTTATTGACAACTCCCTTAAGAAGAGGGAGCAAGCTGGTCTTGCAATGCAATTACATGATAAATCTACATTCCACAAAGTTTCAAGTGTAGCGCAGAGAACAATAACAAAAAGGACATCATTGAACTTGGTACCTGTTCATATATGGCACCCCCTTCATAAGAACAAAATGTTACCACTAGTAAGGGCCAAAATCAGCAACAAAAACAGTGGCAACAACCGAAGAGACATGAAAACTACTACTGTAAAAAATCCATTTATTACTCGTAAAACTAGACACTAAACTACAAGAAAGGACAACAGTAGACGAAAAAAGAAATACGCGTCTTTGATTTGGTGTCCGTGACAATTAGTCACAAAGGAAACTATAAAAAAGTCTCATCCAATTTTAATATTCAAAATAAGTGAATCAGTAGGTCACAGAAGCCCATTGAAATTCATCAATGAAAACTGCGATCAGTACTTTAAATGATTCGACTATGACTTCAATACACAGTAGATAATAGAGGATACCATGTGACCAGTCAAAAAAAGTACGATTAGAAGTATTCGGAAAACATCACAGCTGGCTCAGGCGTGACCATGATTACGGCCTGTATTTTGGTAGAACGAGATTAATTTAAACAGTTACCTTAAAGAAGATCCACACATTAACATGCGGGTATATTTCATCCTAAGTTTTTCAGACGACCTAGTGAGGTCATTTCGCGTCAATTGCAAAAAAACCGTGCGCGAGCCAGCGTGTAACTTTGGGAAGAACAGTTTCATGTACATTCAAGTCAACGAGGTTAAAGATCAATACATGTTAAGCATAATTAAGTCCTACACAAGCTAGAGGGATCGCTCAATCCAAACAGATGTAACATCATCGCCTACTCAACACGTTCATGGACGCAGCTCAGCGTTGCGCATAAAAAAATGTTACAAACGGAAATTAGAGAAAAGTGTAGAGTTAGAAAATGTTAGGATTCGATTTAGATTTAAAACAAAAAACAGGCGAGTCCAGTCGCCAAATATTCTAATACGATAATAGTAAATGAAATTTTAGAGTGTCAATTAAACAGTCGTAGTGACACCAATCGATTAACTCAACAGCGAGAAGTCTTATAGTAGCTATCGAGCTACTCGACTGAACAATAATAACAACAACCGGCAGTAATAACACTTTAAAAGATAAGTAGCGAAAAAGTATCGTGAGATTCTTTCGACTTATGTTTAAACCATCGTTAATTTCATGAAAATGAATCAGGCAATGAAAGCGTGACAGCTTAGTTTCTCACACGAGATCGAGAACAACATTTCTTCAAAGCAAGCTCTGCACTGCTTAAGTCTCTTGATCAGAAATCACGACTAGATAATTTCTGTCATTACCAGCAATTCTTCAAGCACTAACACGTACGATTTGACTCCATATAAAATAAATACGTTTTTGTATCCAAACCTTGACTTGACGGTAGATTGAAGGCTCCACGTTTAACTAACGATACCAATAAATAAACGATACAATTAACGGAGTCGTCTTTGGGCCAAACGAAGGTGCATTAGATTATTGCACCGAGCATGACTAGAGTTACCTTAACTGAAGCAAGCAAGAAGTCTTCCTGCAATGCCAACCAAAACTGCCATAGCTAATACTCGACATTATCAAATTTAGTAGAGCCAATAAAACTACTAACGGATTTAATATTGACTGAACGAGATCATATAAAAAAACGGAGCGAATATAGAGGATAAATCTAAATTTTTAACAATTACACGTCACTGTAATGCAAGTGTAAATACTCTCACAACACACTAAATTTCGATGGCGGAAGTCAAAATTCAAAACCGCACAGCAAGAAAATCTGGAGAACATTAGACTAAAATTACTATACTCTAGTCAATGCCATATTAACGCTCTTGGAGCCAAAGAAAAAGATAGTGCACTGCCGGTCGCGGTCATTTCAATTGTTCAATAAACTTAATACACCATTCAGTTTGACTTCATCAAGTTCACATGGTCTCATAGAAAATGAAAGTAAAACCTAGCTATGAAAAAATTCCAATAAATTGCTTCAAACAATCTATTAGACAAAATGAGTTTCCAGGGTTATAAGAAGTGGTACAAAATCACAGGAATAATCTTTAACAAGATTGCTGGTCTGCGCCACGCCGAAAAAAACGGCACTTAGTCCACAAGATCGCGGTTACGATAGGCATTTTATACGATGCTCGTCGACTGTAAAATACCGTGCACGCGATTCAGCCTCGTACGTGAATTGAGCGGCTTATACTGCAAAGAAAGGAATGTGCGAGATCATCTTCAGGCTGCTTTCTCCGTCACCCGTCCCAGCGCTACCCTGAAGCCCATAAATTATTCACATTTAATATTGAGAAGATATTTGCAAGACTTTTCATTGTTTAGAATTCGTTGGCCCAGCTTGAGGTTGCACTTAGAAATCAGCAATCAATTTACCGTTCTAGAAAATCGTGATAGAACAAATTACTACGACCAAAGGTGCCAATTCTCATCCTCTACTGCGACTAATATATAAATGAGTTAATCTAAGCTGAACCAAGTTCAAAAGCCTATGTCTGTTCCTAAATCAGAACAGCTTTAAAATTTTGCAAATACCTTCTAAATAAGAAATGGTTGGGGCGTGCGATGTGGTATTACTATTTTAGACGAGCACGACGTCTGTGACGGGGTCAGGATTACGCAGCAGTAATCACGCCCTTAACGCACCTGATCAACTGAACGATCCCCTCTATTCTAAATCGAAGTTCTTACATTATAAAACCAAGCTTATCGTTTCAGAATAATTGAGGCAACTGCTGAATGACAAACAGAGACCTCAACGGGAATATTTTAGTGAAACTGAAACGGAGCGAAAATCCATCAGCAAGGAGACACGGATTCCGTCAATCTTGCGTTCTTGAATTCAGCTGCTGCTGCTGAAGTTTACTGTAGACCAAAAATATTTAACAGCTTTATTCTTCGAGCCAACAAATTATTGAAAGAGGAAGTTGAATTGTGGCATAGAGCACGCCAACACACTGCAAGCAGCCAGTGATACAAAGCAGTTGACGTCACAGGAGGGGCTTGCAGCTGAAAATCTGCAATGCTGAAGATGATGACCTCGATAACCAAGGTACGGTGGTAGCAGCAGCAGCAGCTCGTATGGACGCCTTACATGCCACCTCCCCACCAGTCAGTGCCGGAGGAGTTGGGATTGTTGTAGTTATTGGTTCCGAAGCTACCTCCGTAGCCACCGCCACCGCTACCACCACTTCCGTACTGAGTGAAGTGCCCTAGAAGAAGATATTTCAGACTTCAGTTCAAAATATTAGACTAAAACGGATGAAGAACGAGAAATACTCTTACACAAATTTAAAAAGTGGCGAAAATTTTGTTTTATAAAACTCATCTAATTTATTGTAATGTTGAACCAAAAGTTTTATATCTTTTATCTATAAATTAAAAAAAAATGACCTATAATGAAGAATGAACACATACAAAGAATTATTTAACATTAAAATATTAAAGTCCATCCTTTCATTCTTGAAATACATATTCAATGTCAAAAATAGTGTTCGCCAGCTCAAGTCTTAATGAATGATAACCGGACCTCCATAACCTCCAAACTGGGGCGGAACACCGCGTATGCCTCCCATGGGAGGCTTATCGGTACGCTGCTGACGGTAGTCACGTGAACCAAAGCCAGTGCCCATCCTCTTGTTGCCGCCACCGCCGCGTCGGTTGTTGGTGTTGCCAGCCCACTTGTTCTCGGCTGCCTTACTTTCTAGCCAGGGCGGCAGCACCTGCTTTGCCTCCTGGAGCAACTCGACCAGATCACGAACCATATTGCGGTTCTTGTCGTTGAAGAAGCTTGTTGCCAGGCCTAAGAACATGGATCATTTAACCAGGGGTCAGCTAAGTGCTCGATATCTATCCTTTGAAGTAGACAGGATATTCGGCAAATATTAGTGATCGGAAGAGGGTCAATTAGGGAAAGTAGTTATAGTCTTCTACATCTCTTGTTAAAAAAGGGTAAAAATGCTCGAGGCCAACGGTTAAAAGTACAAGTCGACCCCGAAAATTCCAAGCGCACATTAAACACGAATACGAGTGTACAGTATGTTAGAAACATTATACAACAAAAACTCCTCATAGTCCTCAATTATGACAAAAGCAGTCAACAGATTAAATGACCAGTATTAGACTAAATCTTCTCCTAGATCCTAGAACACGTATGTTATTAACTCACCCAAGTTACCCATACGGCCAGTACGACCGATTCGGTGTACGTACTCCTCAATATCAGAAGGCAGATCAAAGTTGATGACGTGCTTTACGTGAGGAATGTCGAGACCACGAGCCGCGACCTTTGTAACAAACGTCAGACTTACAGTAATATCGTGTATAAATTTACGAATTGCAAAATAGGCGCATAAACACTGTTTACGAGATGACTTACACGTTTAACGGGTCAGGTTTAGTTCAAAATTTTCTAACAGAAACGTAAATTACTTCCTCATGAAAAGTCGCACTAACCAGTGCTCCACTAACAACTTCCAAATTCAACTTTTTCCCAAATATATAAATAGCATTTATTTATAGAATATCAACTAGAGCGGCGCGTATTGAAGGCGCAGCGAGTTCTTACAGCAGTTGCCACGAGGATGGGGCATTGTCCACTTTTGAATACCCTGAGGGCGTCCTCTCTCTCCCGCTGCGACCGGTCACCGTGGATGGAGATGACGGGATAGTTGCGACGGTACAGGAAGTCCTCAAGACTGTCCGCACCTTTCTTCGTTTCAACGAACACCAGCGTCAGAGATTCAGCTAGGGAACAAAGATAGTAATTCGGTAATTCCTTTTTGAAGTTGGCAAATCATACCCTGTCGAGTGGAGAATACTTTACAGCTATACCGATGGTTAAATTTCATACGATGAAGATTATCCATCCGATCTGAGGCCACCAGCAAGAGGTGAAAACAATTAAATTTAATTTTGAGGGAAAAAGTTGTTCTCACTGGCATTCATCGCGTATCTCATTCAAACTTGAAACTATTGATTCAATCTTGAAACGAGGTTCGATATCTGGAAATTATCTAAGCATCAGCGTGATCAAGGCAGCAAAAATAGGACCAATTCTGTAACAGCCGAAGCCAAAATAAAGTTAAGGTAATGAAATTCAAAAGAGCAAAAATTATTGGTCGTTATACGGAAATATGCAATTTAAAGTATTCTTAAATTAAGCCCAGGACTGTGGAATAATCATTTCGAAGTCTACACCTCCAGATTAATAGTATAAAGTTGAAAGGAAGTAACGTCAGCTTCGCTAAGTAAAGCGAGGTAATGTGATAAAGTATCTCAAGACACAGAGCAATCGAAGCTCACCTTTGTTGGTGTTGCTATCAGCTCCCAGACCAGCACTGTTGAGGATGTCTAAGAGGAAAGAACGTTTGTCTTCCTCTGCCACCCAGACCACATGCTGTGTGATGTTCTCAGAGGTAGACCCAACGCGACCCACAGACAAGAAGATGTAGTTTTGCAAGAAGTCCTAAAAAAACCGTTGTTGATTAGTTGTGTTGTGAGAAGCATCAACCTCTTGAGCTAGTCTATTAAATATTATTCAAAGCTGGTATGTTTGATAGGCCAAACAACGGGAATATATACAAGGACTGATCCAACGCGTATGCAAGATAATTATCGCTTCTGGATATTCTGAGAAAATAATGTTATTTGCTGGAAAGTTGGATTTAAGAATGAGAGTAGGATTTAAGAATTGAAATGACATTCTTACTTTGGCACGAAAGCAAATCGATAAAAAAGGGGGGTTCACGTTTCCGCCAAATACACAAACGGACATTAGTTACAGTTCGGAGTTAATTTGAGTTTTAACGGGACTCGCTTAATTAACATAGCATAGAACATAATGAATCCAACTTCCCTTCTCCGGGATGACGGGATTTCCAAATTGCAGAGATAATAATCCGCGGCAACAACATGCTTAACTTCTCCATAATTTATACTCGTAATATTAAAGAACAATTTGATCAACGCTCCTGACGGCTGACAGGACACCAAGAAAGGACATCAGCCAGGGAACAATGAAAGCCTATACTGAACTAATCACCTGAGCCAGCCTTTGAATTTCCTTCGGGAAAGTAGCTGAGAACATGAGCGTTTGTCGTTGGCCAGTGGGCGGCATGTTCTCATTCTGCACGATATGACGAATCTGAGGCTCAAAGCCCATGTCCAACATGCGATCAGCCTCGTCAAGGATAAGGAACCTGCACAGGTAACATGTGCAAATTAAAACTTCGTTTCCAGTATAAGGATTCTTTGACATTGTTATCTCATCATTTTAGCAGAAAATAACGATCAACTTCTGGAGACAGAGCTCCGTTCGAAAAGTTTCTTTCTCATTTTTAGGTATAATTTTATTAGATTGGTGTAGTTTCAGAAGATTAAATGATGGATAACAGGAATGTCTTAAGGCTACAGTTCAGGAATAAATGGATGATGACTTACTTGCAGTGATCCAAGCCAATCTTGCCACGGTCAATCATGTCGCTGAGACGGCCAGGTGTAGCCACCAACAAATGGCAACCACGGTTAAGATCACGCATCTGATTGCCAACATCAGCACCACCGTACACAACAACGGGACGCACGTGCGAGCGGTACGAGAATTTACGAGCCTCTTCATAGATTTGAGTGGCGAGCTCACGAGTAGGAGCGAGAACCAGGGCGAGCGGGTACTGCTTGGAACGTCCACCTCCTCTGGGTACGTTCTGCATCACATAAAAGAGGAAATCAAGTACTTATATCCTCAGTCTGCTTTAAAAGCAAGTTAACAAGGAATTTAAAAGCAAAGAGAACGCCAAGTAAATTCACCATATCGATATTGATAACGTTTGTGTAATATATAAATATACATGCAGCTTACAGTGCTGATAAAACTTTATAGCAGATAAAGATATGATAAAAACCGGTACTTCTATCAAGAACTTCAAGGAACAATGGACTGCATTTGCCGGGTAGGGGCCTTGTAAAACATGGAACAATGTTTACTTCAATAGTCAGTACCTTAGGTTTCCACAATCATAGTAACGGTCTAACTACAGAAAATTATTTCATGAGCAGTACAGTGGAAACCTTTCAGTCGCACCTGCGCCGGCCCCTGTTCATAGATCTGGTTCAGGATGGGTAACAGGAAAGCAGCTGTCTTTCCGGAGCCTGTCTGAGCCGAGGCCATCAAGTCACGCTTCGCAAGGATGAAGGGAATGGCGTATTTCTGTAAATTAAACAAAATACTCATTGTCATGAATACATCAACAAACAGATGGAATTGCAACTCTCAATTTACATTGACAAAAGTTACGATTGATTCATTTCCGATTAAACTTGTGTGATATCTCAATTTTTTATGAGAAGCATGGGAATAATTCAGAGCTGTGAAAGCACATCACTAACCTGAACAGGCGTGGGTCGATCGTACTTCGTGAGAGTGATGTTGTTTTTGATGATTTCGGTGAGTTTGACATCACTGAAGGAGGTGATGGGCTCGGGGACGTCGTTGCCAGTCGCCTCGACAGGAATATCATCATATTTGTCGAAATTGATGCCAGAGTTGCCCGATTGGAACAACTCTCGCTCAATCACATCGCTGCGAGGCAGCGGCGTCAGCCAATCCTCGGATGAATCTAACACAAAGTATGAAAGTATTGAAAGCTGCAAAATTCATATGCCAACATTTTTTTAGAATAACAAGTCATGGTCAAACATGTAATTTCCAATTAACTAAATCAAGACTAAGCCATCCCAAGAATTCATTCAGGTGTTGGAGGCGAGGGCATTAATAAATAATTATATGCGTTTAAAGATTACTTTTTAAAGACAACACTTCTAGAGAGGCCATTGTCTCCGATGTTACATATGTCAAATGAATTTCTTATTTTATTTTTAAATATTAAAAAAAATTATTTATTCAATTTTCCAAGATTTGACATTTTTTTAATTTTTCAAATTATTTATTCCTTCAATTGATTCATGCATTATCTCCCGACTTTACGCAAGTGTGCAAAATTTCAGATCGATTGGACAGGTAGCCTAAGAAACAAACAACAAGAAGTGAACTTGAAGAGAAGTGTTGAAAAAAAAATTGACCACCAAACTATGTGACTTACTGACGCCTGATGGTGTGGTGCCATTGCCGGCACTGCGATCATTCCAGCGGTTGCCAGCGTCATTACGCTCCTCCTGCCAGCGGTTGTTGCGAGGCGGTCCATCAAACCTGCACCACATAGCAGCAACAAAATCAAGGCAAGGAATAGCTTATTTCATCAAAGAATATCAATAAAAAACTACCTCTTTCAGACATCTGTTGTACACCTGCCAATGGCACTTTTATTTCCACAATATAAACTTCACGGAATGTGATGCAGAAACTAATTCATTTTACATTTAAATAAAATAAATAGGGGATTTAAAGCCTATACGATTTACAAAATTGAACTGAAAGGCATCTTGTTGGATTATTTATTAGGTCGGATTTACCTCACATCATACAAGTTTATAGAAATATATTACCAACTGATTTTTTACGAATTTCTTGATTGTATAATCTCGTGCTTCATTTATCATGGTATTTGGAAGATATATCATTGGGTGACAGTAGAGTGAATACAGCTACCGATGCATTGACTAATAAAAGAAAATTATACTAGTGGTAGTACATTTACTATCGCTTCAGAAAACCTTTATCTGTTTCGCGCCATAGGTCCAATTCTCATTTATACAGCGCCGTTTGCACAGAGTTTCTCGTCGCTCGGTTCAGCGGTCAGGACCTGTTTCGAAAGGGTTATAATTCGGCCCAAGGTATTGATGTTGGTGCATGTGTCTTCAAGTTGGTATGAGGTTAGCGCTGGTGTCATCATCATTAGTCCTAAAGTTCAGAGAGTTGGTTATACTGAGTTCTATATCGCTTAAGGCGGTCTGATCTGAAGTTGATTCAAGAGATCTCCCTCAGGATCCCGGCAAGGGTTTTGTTCGGGCTCAATTTGAGTATATCTAGGAAGAGGTTTCTTCGGTCGACGCTGTAGTTAGGACACTCTGCTATCATGTGCTTCACCATAAGGCTATTACAGTCGTTGCAGTAAGGCACTGGACGGCGTTCCATAAGGTATTTATGGGCGTGACGAGTGTGGGCAATCCTTAGCTTCACAGGGCCACTTCTATGTGTTGTGATCGCTGGTACGAAAAGTTCCAGGCTCGTACATTGTTCTTTAGTTCTCTCGACCTGTTTCCTTATACATTTTTATATTGTTCTTGCCAGACGTTACGAAATACTACTTTGATTATGGGGCTGTAATCGCGACTTGGGGATTTCTTCATTGAAGGTCGCTCTATCGGACGCTGCAGCGCTGAATGCCGCCTTGTCTGCCTTCCTATTTCCGATTACCCTAATGTGGCCAAGCATCCAGCAGACGCGCGATGCAATTCCCGTCGTCATCCCTGTCAGCTTCGCCAGGATCTCCATGATGATGGTGCTTGCTATTGTACATTCTCAGTGGTACGCTTTTTAGAGTCGACGAGTAGGGAGAAGTTATCCCCTGGTAGGTCATCTATGAGAGTTAGAGAGCTAAGTACTCCTAGGAGTTCTGCGGTGAAGGTTGAAGAGTTAGGCTTGAGTCTCCTTGAGATTGCTGTGGCACTGGACACAGCTACACATCACACTACGTCATCTGATTTAGAGCCATCTGTATAAATGTGCGTCGATCCCGCATGTTCCAAGGATATGTGGTTAAAAAAAAAAACAGATTTTTCAGAACAGCCGTGTTGTTGCTAATTTTAATGGGTAGTGTTGTCTGGACAGAAAAAAATCTATGCCCTGTGGGTGCACCATTGAAATTAACAGGAATCACACGTTTCTGCGGTATCTGTGCAGCTGCCAGTAGTGTTCAATAGTCCTCTGATTATGGGATTTTATACAAGAGTAGGTTTGCTTGGTCATCTTTCATAACGCTGTGCCAAATTGAGACTATAGAATATAATTATACCAGAGATTATTCAAGAATAATTGTACCAGAATCTATACAAAAACCTGAGCAGTAAATTTTCAACACACAAGTCGACTGACTAACCTGGGACCTCCTCGTCCGCCACCACCGCCACCACGGTTGCCCCAGCGGTCACCTCCACCATAGCCACCACCGCCACCACCAGCGCCGCCACCATACCCACCACGGGGCACGAAGTCGCGCCTTATCCCTCCTGGAGGACACGTTCAAGCATTGATTTTTAACCTCATTTCAAAAAGCTCTTTCATGTCTATATACTTAACATACATATTACAGTTCGCACAAAATGAGTAATGTTAAGCGTGACAACACAAGGGGCCCTATCGCACGATAGCCCAGTTAAGTAGATAGCAGCCTAATCAGCTCAATATTTATAGCAAGGATTGTGGAAACACAAAGTGAAGGAGTAGCAGAGCACTAGACACCAATTATATAGATCCCGTAATTTGTACTAAATTTTGTGAAATTTCAAAGCACCAAATTATAACCCATCATCAACACAAAATTTAACAGTCAATTGTATTTTGGTTTAACAATGTAAATTCAAAACCCATTGCTGTAAAAATATAAATTTGGTCAATAAATGTCTAGGCTAAGAAACAGATCGTGCAAGCAGAAATGGAGAAAAGTGTTCACGCTCTTAACGACTTGTCTAAATTCGTATTTGTCTGCACACATCTTATAGTACGAACATATTATTTTTCACTCTGTACTCAGAAAATTTAGCAGCCAAGAAGAGTCCACATTCTGCAGTCTAAACTGGCAAAAAAAAATTCATTCTCGTCACCTAATTTCCTTTGCAACTTCAAGCAAAACGAGACAATAAGAATCCTAAAAAATCCTCTTTAAGATGAGAGATTCCAGAAATGATCAATGTCAAGTATAATAAGATTCTTACAGGAAAAAAGAACCGATTTAATGATCACAGAAATTTTTAATGTACATCATATCCATATCCTGAAGTATAAACATCCAACACACAAGCAACTCCAGACAGCACACAACTGCAGGAAAGCTTAACAACAGGCAGTCCACGTGGAAAACCTTAGTTCAATGGCAGATTCAAACTGAAACCAGGAAATTTCAAATACCATATTTCAGTTTCATCATGCCACTCTAGATACTCATCATATTTTAGTGGGAATACACTCGAGAGATCACACCAACTTCGATAGATAAAAAAGGCAAATATAATCTATATAATGTAGGCATTTAATCAATGTAGTGTTACACCACACCAAAAAAAACTGAAACGCTATCAGTTCAAGTACTGAGTAAATGAGCAAGTAACTTTTCCGGCTCATTAAAATTATTTTTCCATTACTATACCAAATTTTCATGGAAGACCTAACTTTCAAAGTAATGCTCAACTCCTACATAAACATGGATAAAAAATTATGGATTAAATGAAATCTGGAGGCAGTAGTGAAAAATTTCATTATAATGTATTCATTTGATCAAGAACCAAGACATGACAAAGCCTGCCATCTTTAGTCAGATCCTCTACTAAAAACTACACCCACAACTCCAGCATGAAAAATGGCATTACACACACAAGTTACAATGGCATAATGAAAAAACTTTATCCTTTTTTCACCAATGCTTATTAATGGATCACAATTTATCCCACAAAGAGTAGTAGCTACAATAGAACATCACAAAAGCGTCTGAACACAAGTACAAAGTAATGAGATGAAAGAAAATGATCATTTAGTAACAAGTTGCCCAAGCCTCGTGATGGACGCAAGTCACACAGTAGTTGAGGGCAAGCAATAAAGCCTTATAGCCGAGAGGTCCTTAAGTAGACACTCACCATAGGAGCCTCGACCCCTATTGTAATCGTAAGAATTGTTAAAATCACGAAATTCGCGGCCATCGTCAGGACGACCGCCGGCCATGGGGAAGTGGCCACCTGCACACAAATGGCATCAGCAATGCTCACAGCCTGGCTAGCATTACAGGACCATGAATCATCACTCTTAATCTACAGCAAAGGGAGATCATAGGCACCTTCTCATGTATCACAAACCCTCAAGTAATTTCATTATATGACAAAAAATAGTGCATTAAGCATGATGGGTGACATTTCAAACACAACCTTTGAGGAGTGCAACACAAAATGAAATGGCCTATAATCTCCTCAAGAAATTAACCACCACCGCCACCACCCCTGCAGGCACACAGGAAGTTATGCTAAGCTCACATGTCAAAAATCAACTAAGTTGCTTGCACTCAAAGTTGCTTGCACTGAAATCATGGTCAAAACTAGCAACAGCGCCGTTAATTCCGCAAGGCTACAATTTTAATACTCAATGATTTTTGCATCCTAATCCTTATACATCAATGGTAGAGCAGCAATCTAGTGTCTAGATTTGAAGCAATTGTCAAGATAATGACATGTGAGCCAACAGCACCAGGACCACAAAACATCAAATGCAGGCAGAAACATTCACGAGTAATGGAGAGAAAAGGAGTGAACTCACCTCCCCATCCTCCATGGTACGAGGCAATGGGGACAGATGCAAGAAAAAAAAGAAAACAACTATTACATCCATTAAAATTTATTGAACCTATATGAAAGATAAATATCTTCTAATATCATCAAGATGGAATATAATTTCTTACATAACATTTTGGAGCATCAATACTCCTAAAAAACGAGAACATCAAGAACATGTATCAGAATTTTAAAATCAATGTTGCACCAGAGAACATTTTTAATAAATTGAAGTAAAAAATAAATTAAATTTGACATGCAAAAAGTGATAGACAACAAGACACTGCCAGATCATTTCAAGAGGGTCTGGGTCTGATGAAAAAGGAAAAAAATAGCTTTTCAGTTTCTGAGCTCATTTTGTAGCTGTGAACAAGGTGCCTCTAATACATCAACAGCAAGCAAGTGCCTCAGCTAGTATATAAAGTTCTGTGGTGAAAAGAAATTTCAAATTCTGCATTGAAATAAATAGGTATTCTCTTGTAGGAAATAATACGCATGTAGATCATTATTTTAGCCGAACTGGACAGCTATTAGTCATGGGGCTTAATACCTCAATAATTGAGTCATAGGTAATGAGAGAGCCGTGGGTACAAAGCCTAGCAGTTTTTTAATGCCTTACTGCAACACTACTTCACAATACTTGACCAACAAATTTTCAAGCTACAAAGTTCATTTTTCCTTCAAGTTCAAGGAAAGGAGCTTCAAGGAGCTACAACATCAAGTCTTCAGTCAACTTGTTATACAAATTCAATCGTATCTTGGAGACATTATACAAGTGTATTTTTGATTGATATGGGATAAAAGGTTAAGATTTTTGAGGCAAGGAGGAACAAAGTGTTAACAAAATTCCTAAAGGGGAGCTTTAGAATTTATGGCAATATCTGTGTGATGAACTTTTTAATCAATTTTTTTTAATTTATACTAAAAATTCGCAAGTCAAGGATTTTGTCACAGTCATCATTTACATTTTCCTCATTTTGGAAAACATTTCCTATGAATGTAATGCATTTCTTTTAATGCTTTAGGTGTGTATGGAGTTTCATACTTTTTCTTTTAGACCCAGACCCTCCCCTCCCAAGATGCCTTGTTTAATGTCTGTGCCCATCTCTACCATGTAACTCCTCAAGAAAAAGATGTAAGTATAACTAGTTGCAGTAACAGCTTCACCTCCAAACCATCATCATTAAAAGAATCCCTATCCTGAGTCAATGATTTACAATTCATTATACATAGTTTCACTCGTAATTGCTTATAAGACTAGTTAATTATGTAATAGGAGACAGGGTGCAAATTTCCACTTCCTTAACCAGGTTAAATAAAATTGATAAAATTAGACCAGCCCTTCATTACCTTTCAAGATTTTATGATAAGCAGAGTGGGTGAAAATGGTTTGATATCTCATTAATTAATCGATGTAAGAATGTGACACCCATTTCCTCCACACCGTCAAAGTAATCTTAATTATAACAAATGAATTAAACAACTGGCCCCACATAGAGAGAACTTAAATATTTCAATTTCATAAAAAATCATTCCCTAAATTCAGGTAACAAATTTTGAACCCACTACTTTTCAACACCATCAACCAGGTGTATAGCAAGATGTTTGAGTTAAATATCATGCATTTCTCACAATGATAATGATATACTCATGAACCTATATTCTAGTTCTCCCAAGCATGTAACTAAAGGTTAAGTTCAACAATGATAAGCCCACCAAATGAATACGAGCGGGCAAAATTTAATATACATGTCCCAAATGCTAGAAAATCTGAGTTGATTATCCGACACTAACTAATGCATCACTTGAAGAAATGGAAAAATATACATTAGAAGGCTAGTATTAAGGTAGAGACTCACCAGGTGGGAAGTTTGGAGGGGGCATTGAAGTGAAGGGAGGAGGTCCAGGAAGGCCAGGCATTGGGCCAGGTCCCCCCATGTTACGCAGATGAGGTGGGACATAGCGACCACCACGTCCACCACCTCTACCAACATCACCAGGCCCCAGTGAAAGCCCAGCAATCTGGAGATTATTAACAGCATTATTTCAAAGTAATATAATATTAATATCTATTTCTAAAAAGACAATAAACTAGTAATCTAGTTGCAGCAAAAAAATTGTGTCAACCTTTGAAACTGATGTGCTAGAACTTGCACTTAGGAACTTTGAAATAGAACCCAAATAATCCCCATTGGTAAATTATAAAAGGGGAATCAAATTAGTTTCATTTCAAAAGTAGTTATGAATAGCAACTAAAAAGTCTCTTGTTTGGCACTATTCTTAAATTACTCTAATGCCCTTGTCTAACATATGAACATCTATTTCTAGAATGGAGCAATTCACTGGAAATTGAGCTACACCGACACATTGTGAGCATCAAGAAAAGTTAAGTTAAAGTCCCTGTAAGGCCTATTACTAGGAAAACTGATATAAAATATTGTTATACAGGTTGTTGAGCAAGTAGGTATGCACATAATTGCATGCAAATCACATGAAACAATGAAATGGTGGATCAGCTTATTTTGACTTGCTTATATGCACTGTAGGCTAACCATTTTTTTAACTGATAACCAAATTCAAGCAACTGTCTGCAGTCAAAGTTATGTGCCTAACTTAGTTTATCTACTTTATTGCTACAGCAGTTGATTACACATAGCACCTTCAATGACATCCCATTGCCGGTCATATGCGGGTGCCTTTAGCACCGATGGGATCAGTCAACAATCATCCTTGTCATGCACTGGCTAATATAGCTCCAATGCTTGCTATAGTTAACAGTCAACACATTTGATGTACCACACCCAATTCACAGATATGCTGAATATAATTTAAATACTTGCTTTGCAGTCCAACCTGCTCAACACTAGGACAATAGAACAAAACTGGTCCCAAATTTGGACCAGGACCAAACCTGGGCCCATACTTTCAAAAAGAGTTAAGAGATCGTAAGTTCATCAGCCAATCATTGACGGCCTTTCAAGCCACTCTTTTAAAAACAGTTAAGAGATCGTAAGTTCATCAGCCAATCATTGACGGCCTTTCAAGCAAAATCCACCAATCATAGACAAGAAATTAGAGCGTAAGTACTTACGTTCCCTTAGCGAGTTTTGAAAGTATGGCCTCTGGTCCTTGTATTGTCCAGGTATACACAACCAAGCCAGGTCCTTGTATTGACCAGGTATACACAACCAAGCCAGGTCCTTGTATTGAACTAATAATCTACCAATGACCAACCCAGAACACAACTGATACTTGGAAATAAACAAAGAAATTTCTAATTAATCCAACATAATCTTGTTTATTAATATTTGCTGTTGTTAACACTATACCAATCTGGGATATTGGGCAAAATTAAGAAAAAAAAAATTGTAGATAAAATTATTTAATAAAATGTTATCCCACAACTACAGGCTGTTTCATCTCATTCATGGGTGGCTTCTGACTGAATTTCTAGTTTGGCTTGCGCTGCAATGCGCAGCTGTGTTCAGTCAAGCATTACCAAAAATAAGTAAAATAAAATTTACGGCAGGAGCTCTGCTTGACAAACTTTGTATTTTAGCCATCATTCTTTAAAAAATTGAATCGTTTTCTGTCCAATTGAAATGCTGTTTCTCAGTTTGCAAAATTATTGCTGAAGATAAAAATATGCCAGTGTCCCAAGTGGAAACTTGGGCAGAAGCAACCCATGGATGAGACAAAAATGCCCAGGCTCATAGTAAATTTTACCTGGGAAGCCACAAGGCAGCAAGGCCCTGGACTAGTTTATAGATAAAAATAACAAAAAATTTCATTCTTGACTGCAGTTTTAAAAAATAAAATGTGAAAACCTATGTCAACAGCAGCTTTTGGAAATTTGTCTAATTTTTAGTTTTTACAGATTTACCAGTGTTTCAATACAAGGTTAACCCTTTAACAGGCAAGTTACCTTATAGGTTCACTTGAAATTGCCTCACATAACAGCCCACTCTGGCTTCTGATTTATGTTTGAGGCTTCCTTATCAGGCCTCAGTCAATCACCAATTATTTGACCATCATTCCATCCATAGAATCACCACCTACCATGCCCAAAAATGAAAACAAGAGCATTTAAATGAAAGTTTTGGCCAACAACAAAATTTACACTTTCTCCGCATTTTTCAAAAGGCAGGCTGCAGAAGTATCAATAAATATTTAATTATTTAATGTAGGTTGACTGAATTGAATTGAATTTGGTATTACTTTAGATTAAGTGCATCCAAAAAAAGGGTGTTTTTTTTTCTTTAATTATATGTTTTTTGTGGCGTACATTAAGAATCTGAAATCTGTTTTTGGCGGACGGCATCGGAAAACCGATATATTTATGAATCAACCACAAGAGTACAATGGTCCCCAAAGCTAAGTTAAAAAGCTAAAAATCCACGTGGTACGTTTTTATTTCATTTGAAATTTATCTCCATTTGAAAAAATCGGAAAATTTTTTTGACTGGAAATGATCTATATCGATCTGGGAATGACTGTAAACCTATGTAAAACCCAAAAATTGTGCTAGGTTAGGTTATCTATAGAAAATATATAAAAAAATCAGAAAAAAATCGGTTTTCCGATGCCGACCGCCAAAAATGGATTTCAGATTCGTAATCTACACCCCAAAAAACATACAATTAGAAAAAAAAACACCCTTTTTTTGGATGCACTTAATCTAAAGTTTTACCTCGAATTTTAATTATAAAGAAAATATTTCGTGTATTGACTGTATTTTTATAATTTGTAATTTAATAAGTGTGATTTAAGCCTCCAATATGCAAAATTCTAAAAAGATTTTGGAGTAAATATTTTATATAATTTTTTTTTAATACTTCTTACTTTCTTTTCCTGGTCTCTGAAATTTCTATGCTTACCTGCAAAAGGGTTAAAATGGAAATTATGAAATTAGGCTACTGTGTAATTACCAAAGTAATTATATATTCCAAGAATATATTTAGGTAGGTATTTCAATTCAATTAGGTACCCACAATTTATAGGATTGCTCATCTTTACTGTTCATCATAGTGGGATTCACAACCATTGTAAGTCGTGATGTGTGGTGGTCTAATAATGGTGGCGGCAGTATGGAATTCTGTATAGGCATTATATTATCATGTTAACATAATAAAATGTATCGAAAACTTACCACCTTACACCTTCCACCAAAGTGACAATTGATACTCATTACACGGAGCTCGTCAGATCAAAAACTGCGGACACCCGGACAGCCGCGCTTCCTTTATCTTGCTTGCGTGTGGTTCAAAAACCGATAAAAAGCCGGCGACTCTTCCCAAATGCAAACACTAGTCGTGTATGCGTATCGAGAAATTTTTTGTAATGAATATGTTCCAAAATAAAATGAAAATTACATCATCTTTCGCAGAAAGTTCTCACGATTTCATCGATACCCACAAAGTTCTCGAATCCACACGAAATGATGGGATAAACTGCTAAACTTTCACGGCGTATGGCAACATTGTGTTGACTGTTGACATTAGACAAGACGGTGTCAGACACCTTTTTTTTGGTCTTGTGAAGTTTAACTAGTACTTTTTATAATTTTAATTGTTGAGTGCAAGCTGCCCTGCAGACACGCAACATTTCCAAGGTAAGTGATTACTTTATAGAAACTTTTTATACCTTTACCTATACGTGTTTAAGCCTAGGCTATAAGAAGTTTTTTTTTTTGCCTCAATGTTGTATCGAAAAACTGGTCTAGGTATATCGGGAATAATATATGAACTGTAAATTTTAGAATTCCATCCTGGGTGGCGGTCATGCGTCATGGTAATATGAAACGAAGTTAGTTTATTAAATTATTAATTAAGTTTAGGGGTCGGTTGTCTTTGATTTTATAATTTCAATGATATTATTTTCATATCATTATTTTTGGCTCATTAGGACAATGCTGTTTAGACATTCAAAGGCTTCAATGAAGGATAAATAGGTATATAAATAAGAATTCTTGGTCCATAGGCTAGTCACTGTTTACTTTCTAGTCCAACTTTGATGTACATAAATAACATGAACCATATTTTAATTTTTCAATTCCTATTTTATTGATAATGTCACATAGGCTAGGTACCTAGGCTACTTCACACTCACAGTTCACACCTTCCAAGAAGAAAAACTTCATTGAGTAAAACTGTATAAACTTGCTATCCTATAATCAACATAAATAATAAATAATCTCGAAAAAAACACGAGAATAACCGAGTATAGGTATATATGAGTAAGGGAAGAGTTATTGTTTAGTAGGTAGCCTACTGTACCCATGATCTTCAGTTTTACCGGAAGTCGGTTGCCGGCCTTGTCAACTCAATCATCAATGACACCGGATAAACCGAGAACCGACTAACCGAAAATTCAACATTACATTTAAAATGACAATTAAAACAGAAAATTACATGTTCTTTAGTTAAATGAATATTAAAAATCACCAAAGGATATCATGTTTAACGCACTTGAGGCCAATGCTAAGGGAATATAGTTTCTTTGTACGGCGGCATTATCCGCCATTGTTGAATGTAAGTCACGGTTGGCTTCCGATAGCGATATTCTAAACTTAACAAATTAATACCAAATAAAACGAACATTAATTTGCAATATGATTCAATTCTTAATTTGGAACTTACCTGCTGCTCCAATCCTACAGCATTGTGATTCATAATGATCAGAAATTTATAACAAAAATTAAATTCAGAGGAGAGTCCTAACTTTACGTTCTAGTTGTTCAGTGGGCCCTAACGAAGAGAGCTAAAGCAGGTCTGACGTAGCGTATCTTGGATTTAGGAATTTAACTTGTGTATTTTGAAAGACAGTCGCATATTAATTTAGAAGTACCGCATAATTAAGGTAAACTAGGCATTTACATTTTTTCCATCTATCGTTTAATGCTTGTAAATCATCTAATAGGGTACCTACGAAGAAATTTGAATTGATTACGTAACAATGGGTTCCCCTTATTTGTTTATTACCCTGTAAAATTATTTCATGTATATACATGGAGTGGATATGTATCACGCATATAAAGGTAAAATTCTACTAATGACTTACTGAGAAAACTTAATGAAGGTGTTCATACCTACAAATCGGAGATGCTACATTTTTTTCTTATCACGATAGAAATTTTAAAAAGATTGGGTGATATGTGAAGGTGAAAAAAATTGTGAAAGAGCAATTGAAAATAGTTAACCGAATTATTCTGCTATTCTAATAACCATTGAAATGTTCTGCTGATAAGTTATTAACAAACGTACAAACTCAGCGTAAATAATCCGAGCGCACCCTGGCGGATTTTTCTCCGCATCACAGTCAATTCCAAGAGAGGAAAAGCTTCTGAGGCTTCAGAAGCGGTTCAGACCATGGTTGAATTAATTCAACCATGGTTCAGACCTCCCGAAAATTTATTGAAATTTGTTTTTGCAGGCCCAATCTTCATTAAATACAAAAACGTTGAAGTTTATTGAAAACGGAATATACATCCGTCAACAATTTTGTATTTTTTCCCTTCTCGCTATAGTTGGGTTTTATCTGGCGTTTTTTTTTTTTTTATCTCGGCTGTTTACAGACGGATCACTCTGAAACTTGGTACACTTATGTAAAACCGAAAAATAGACAACTTTTATTTGAAGCAAAGTTACAGAAGTATGTCTTTGAAGTTACAGCGATGAGACATATACCATTCGATTTGCATTCAAAATATCTATCGATTCGTCGTTGCGTTTTTCGAATTTCGAATTTTAGTGGATGTGGGAGCATTTTCCCTAAAATTGTCGATAATTTTTCGCTTTTTTCCAATTCCCTCCCCCCCTTATTTCAAAATATTTTAAAAACTATAACGAAATTCGAAAAACACAACGACGAATCGATAGATATTCTAATTGCGAATCAAATGGTATATTTTTCATCGCTGTAGCTTCAAAACTCTAGGAGGAGATAGGTTTACCGTGACAATAAGTTAACTTTTTAGGACAGCGCGGCAAAGTCAAGCGCGCGTTGGAATAGCTACTCAATGTAGCAAGGATGCAAGACTAAGCGTTACTGGAGCTTGATTCCAGTCAAGAATGGGAGTGACTGCTAGCACAGCACCCCGTACGACGGCAGTAGGGAACCTCGGCTCTAGCAGACACACTATTTATAGTGCGCGGCAGCTAATTTAGTCCTATATTATTTGTTAAAGAACCCTTCCACCCCCCTACCCTACGGCATCTGCAGTGAATGCATAAATCAACGTACAGAGATGATTTTGGTACCGTTGAATGCGTCAAAGAATCAGCTTTAAGATGAGTATAAGAACTGGAGAATGTCATAATTGACCGCTTTACGTCAGACGATCCCCTTTATGGTGCACGGCTAGGTAATTTCCGCCTTAACTTTACTGAAGGGGCCCGGACACCTCCCCTCCTTACGGGATCTGTAGTGAACGCATAAACCAACGTATAGAGATGGTTTTGGTACCGTTGGATAGCTCAGAATGTCAGCTTTAAGATGAGACTAAAAGCCGAAAAAGCCAAAGTCTAAAAATTTTGACCAGACGCTCCCCTTAATGGCAGAGAACTGCATTTAGAATATTAGGCAGATTTTCATTTTAATAGATTTTACGTTTACCAAATTGGTTTACCCTACACTTTATAAACTTTCGAATAGACGGCAGGCCCCAAAGAATTCTTTGTCGCGGCGGGCAATGATCTATGTGAAAAATTAGGTGTATATTGTACTGTCAATAATTATTAATTATAAGTTGCTACTGATAATTTACTCGCTATTGAGGTATACAAACACATACAAATGATGGCTGATGATTCATGCTAACCTTGTTTCTATTATGTCGATTGTGAATATTACTCAGTCGTCAAATTATGAACATTAAATAAATTTAATAACTTCAACCTATGAATGCCCCCATTCTAGATCACAGTATGTAAAAACGGCGAATTTAAATTAAAACACTCGAATAGGTTACATAGCATGCCAAGAGTATAGTCTAAATACTTGATGACTTCTACAGACGACGAGGCTCAGGAATGCAACACCGCTCCTCATCAGAGCGACGCGGGAATTATATATACAGACTTGTGGTGGGCTAGCAACACTGCGCCTCTGTGCGTAAAACCAAAAAATAATAATAATGAAGGTACCCGTTAAAGTTTTAATATAAAAAGCGGAATGCATTTCAAAATTGATTTCAAGCTAGTGCCATGGGCCTATTTCTTCAATGCTGACACTTCTATTCTAGTGGCACTCAAGTCTTGCTGTGCAAGTTCAACCCTGATTAAATGGTACTTGTAATGACGCTTTAATGTTACAATGCTATGCGTTGGGCACGGCTAAGCTACGATCGCTATAAATATTTTTATACATAGCACGCTGCTATGCTCACGGCAACAGGCGCATGAAAGCCAGGTAATTCGAGCGCAAATGTGAACCTGATCCTGCAGGTAGAGGAATTACCGTGCACCTGTTGGTGCCGTGGCGTTACTGGAACTAGAGATGCGTTTTGTAACGGTAATATATAATATAATAATATGTTATTATTGATTGAATATAATAATTGCACTACATAAGCATAAAAAATCAATTGCAATGCAGCAATATCGCCAGAAAGACAGAACCCCGATCTGTTGGACTTTAGTAAATCGAGGGTGATGAACTCACTTCTATAGCGGCAATGATTAGGGTGGCGAATAATTGATCCGCTAATGGTGGAGAATTTGACACGGGGAGTTCAAGCGAAACTTGAAAGAATCATTAAATGAAGATCAGTTTCTGCTTGGCAACTGGCCTTTGGCTAGAATTTAATGTTTTATAAAGATAATTGAATGTTTTATCCAATAGATAGATAAAGTGACTAGTTGAGTTTTTTTTGTGTATCGATTGAAAATCGAATACGAAGCTCGCTAGAAAATGTGAATTTTGCTCGGGTCGGTGCACTTACATTAATGAATTTTTTTATTGAAGCACAGCTTCTACTTTACTGGTAAGAGCTATGCGCGTGTTGTCACTGTAAATGACCTGTGGATATGAGAAATGAATGCGCTTAGATTTGCTGGTTTTTAGACAAGCTGAGGAGTGGAAAAAATGACTGCACTTGAAATTCGTAGACTTGAAATTCATAGGAAGTTCAACGACTTAACGAATCAATACATTCAACTGATGCAAATATTTTATTTTTTATCAACTAAATAGCTAGGCTCGTCTCGACCCACCATCCCCTCTTCCCCCCGCCCCCAACCCGCGTCTACTGATGGTTATGCAGTCAACCAATTCGTCTCCCTCATGCAGTCATGTAGTAATTAATAACGGTTACTTTACAGTATTCTGCTGCCGCACACTCATAATCTTCCCATGAGGCTTCACGTAAATTAACCTCGCGATACCGCTGCAGCTTTAGTAAACTGTTTATGCGTATAGGGATTGTCATGCAAGTAGTGCGAAATGTTGTTTAATGTAAAATAATTACTATTTATGATAAGGATTGTTATATATAAATAAATGCTTCTGTTATTTCCGCCTCCAACAAGAGTTTCGTTAACCAGAGTTCATCAAACAAGTGAAGCTTCAAGAAATGCCAGTAAGATATTAACAGTCCAAGTCAAATAAAAGTTGATAACCAAAGCAAATGTGACACCGTGAAGCAAATATATACGGATACCATCAGAGCAGGCGCTGGGAGATATCTTGACCTATCGGTTACATACATAAACCAAATCTTCTACAAGATAGTGTTGCTGCAATGACGGTTGATTAATTAACGCTGGCGCAGCAGTAATTTGCGAGATGTATTATGAAATTATATGTTTTAGGTGAGTAACGCCAAGCTTTTTTTTCACATCATACATACAGTCGCGATCGAATGTGCTACCACTCTCGCGACGTCCAAATCAAAGTAATCAATTGTTGCAGCTCAATCTTATTCCAAATTCACTTATGAGCTAACCTTCATGTACACGTCCCAGAAAATGCTTTATTTACTCCTGAATCTCATGTAGTTTTTACGTCGTTTCTACTTGTGTTAATCTCGACAATCTCGTGTGGTCTGAAATGAGAGCGCCACCACTCGATGGTATCTCGCCTACAAGTGGCCGGGTCTACGAAGACACTCAGACCAGCACGTCGCTGGCTCAGTGAGCGCTTGATGTGTCAGAGGAACGACATCTACACAAAACAGGATTTGAGAAACCGTATTGAGAAACAGTACAAGAAATAATGTTTATCTGAGACTATAATTTAGTTTCTGTGACAACGATTACAAGGAAATTAAACAAGTGTTATTTTGATTTTTACTATGCATCAAAACGCCTGAATAAGATTTGTCGCTCACTGACATAAAACGATTCTTGTGATAATACGCAGTAAGAAATTGGGATTCGTAGTCAGCCGTGGACCAAACGTTGACTTGGAAAAGATGCAACTTCTGACTCTCACCATCGGCGTATTGTGCTTTGTCGGCTCAACCGCGATCACGTTGGAAGGTAAAGCTAGTGCCCTGTGGGATTTACGGTCTACGAACGCAGCTGGAGCTGCATGGCTTCATAGAAGTTCATTGAATAATAGTCGAAACATTCATCCATGTGTTTGGGAATAGTTTATTCCAGTTGTAGTTTTGAATTTAAAAATGTTCGGCTCATGTTATACATTATAAATGCATTCTTATGTTGATGGACTTTTGAATTAGTCGTTTTGTTACAATGAAATAAAAATATTATTAGCTTTTTGCTTGGTAAATCAAGTGTAGAATCACTGTGCAAAATGATTCCTTACAATTATATATTATATAAAGCAATATTTCCCAGGCTTTCCGTTACCCCAACTTTGATCCGAAGGAAATTATCACGCCTCTGCTTTGTCTTGTTTAACCAACAATAATGTTAATGATCCACAGTTCAACCTTATTGTACCAATGTTCGGTACCGTAATACTCGTGTCTTAAGAAGAGTCGAATAAATAAGGCCAACTTGATCAAAGTTCAAGAAATGACATGGCCATTCTTTTGTGCCCACATCACGTGAATCAAGCACGGAAAGTACAATAAAGTGAACAGATACCGAAAGAGTTTTCTTCCAAATCTGTGAATGAGTAAGAAAATTAAACGTTTTCCTTATACCGTTGCGGCTGTAATGAGAATACGCCTGTTTTACACCACATATAGTGAACAATTCTCAAAACTTACTCTCTATTTATCCATCTATATTTTCTTTCTATTTACCTGATATTACTGTTGAGGTGAAACTATTTACTTGAAAACTGTTGAAGTGAGACCAGTTTTTGTGTTGTAGCTGAGAGGAATATGTCTCGGTTGAGATGCGGCGAAAACAGTAGGTTGTATACAGGGTGTTTCACAGGAAATTCCTTATTTGAATATTCAACTAAAAAAACTAGTAAAGTTATCTATACCATATGAATTTTATTGAAAAAGATACTACCTGAATTTTTGTATCACTTAGTTTTAAAGATGACATCGTACAAATGACGGCCTCCTTTGCCATTGCATTGTAGCAACTGACTGGGCGGGACGCAAAATATCGTAACTTTGCCTTTCATATGGAATATTCCCCCGCCCTTTTCCTGAAACATCTGGCTACTTGGCGCGAAATACAAAACAGGAAGTTTCCGTGAATCACCCTGTGCAAGCCCTCTGCCCACTGAATGAGCGCCCCAGTGCTCTCCAGTCCAGAACAATCTCGATGTGTGCTCAGTTACTTAGCCTTGCAGGGTTGAGTCTGCTATCATCCTTAAAAATTGGTCCACTCCGATACAGCATTAATCACCAGACCATGCAGATGAAACAAAATTAGATTACTTTAACTGACAAACAACAGTGAATGATAGTCTTCCTGAATTTGAATTCAGATGTCAATCATTGTTTTTGCAATACACCCAGCCAGAGCCGATCACGCTTGGGTTTAAAATTATGCTTAAAAAATGACTTATGCTTATTTCGTCCAAAGAATATTGAAACCTGACCAATGTAAGCTCATGCTCGTAAATAAGCATCATCCTACCATCGAGCGAGTGCTTCCATAAAGAGGCACCTTCATTAATGCGCCATGTCATTTAATTCTATACCTATCATTACTGTTACCAGTGTCAACATGTTAGTTGTTAGTCCAGAGGTGGGCAGTAGCGCGCTACATAAGTAGCGGCCGCTACATTTTCAGTAGCGGTAGCGGCGCTGTAGCGGTAGCGCCCGCTACATTTCAATTGTAGTGGTAGCGCCCGCTACATTTCAAAGTAGCGCTGCCCAGCTCTGATCATTACTGTAGTCTATCTTTACGTTTATTCATTTAATGTTGAGACGTGCACGCCTTGATTCCTACGCTGTTGACGCCTGAGCAGAAGTGATGGCCGGCAGCCCGGTGACGGCGGAGCGCGTCGTGCGTGACCTGCTGGAGTACTACAAGCAGGAGGACCCTTTGGGGATACCGGGTGAGTGGTGGGGTCTACTGGGGGGTCTGGTCTGCTAGTTGAGGTGTCTGGTCTCCAGGTTAAGATGAAGACGCTGGAGAGCAAAATTGTAATGTAGAGATAAGGTACTTAAATCTGATGGAAATAAATCAATTTTCAAAACTGAAGTGAAATATTCGAATCTAGAAACAAAAAAAGTTAATGGATTCTCATAATTGAACAAGAAACGTAAGAGAACGTTAACATTACAATGCTGCTGCAGGATTTAATTCCACTTTCATGTTTAAGCCAAACATGAGATTATTTGAGTTATTCGTCAAAATAACTATTAAATGGGAAAAAAATAAAACGACGTTTAAGAGACAAATGAAGCGTATACTTCTTGTTCAACTCAATTTACCTCCTAGAGTACAAGCTCAATAAATTTACGTATTCCGTGATACATATTTTATCCATCCTTGCTGTAAGGAAAACTGATTTAGAATAAAACTTTGCATGTTATACTGAACCTGAAATAAAGGATCAATAGATTTGTAGAATTCAGTCACTGATTTGCGTTCCATGCGTTATGTTAAGAGTAATTCGACAATAATAAGCATTAATTACTTAATTGAAATAATCGTGAAATATTGTCACGCAGGACTGGAAGTGAAGGATCCGTTTTTCCTGGACAAGACGATATCCGTGAGCGTGTTGAGTCTGCACGGCATTGAGGTGGCTGGACTGTCCAAGTTCAAACTGCAATATGTTAATGTTAACGCCAGCAGCCTTACCGTGAGTAGCTTTAAGTATATTATTTTCCTTGGTATGTATCTCAAAATTTATAGGTGAATCGATCGAAAATTTAGGTAACATTGCTACGGTTCAGTTAGCATGCATGCAGGAATACTTCAACAAACATTATGTAAACACTGCTTAATCGATTTACACAGGGCAAATCATTCTTATTTCCTGCGAATATCAAACATTTTTTTCTAAATAAACATAAAAACTAAGTGATCATTACTTAAGGGAGAAATTTAGGCTTGATTTATTGAATTTGTTGAGCTCGTTGAATTTTAAGAGCATTCACAGCACGAATACTTCCTGAATAAATTGATTATTTAGCCATAAATTCGATTATGCTAATATTATGTATTATGATTAGTATATCTGAAATATATTGGTCATAAGATATCATTTTGTTTGAGGTAATTAAATTTATAGTTTGCAAAATTTCGTAAGTATAAATAGTGAAACGTACTCATGCATGTTTGATATGCACATTTGAACCATATTCATCCATGTCAACGTGTCATACATCTCATGATTTAGCATTCCATTATTCGCCTCTCTATAACGATTATTAATATCATATTATAATACATAATTGTTATAATACATTATAATTATTCAATTCTAACACTAACTTGCCCAGGCTACAGTCCTGCTGCGCATCCCGTGGCTGCAGGTGATCTCAGTGTACGAGTACTCGACGTACTGGAGTGGCACGCGCGGTGACATGAACCTAACATTCACAGAATTTGATATCAAAATCAGCGCTGAGCTCGGCTCAGACAACAACGCTAAGCTTATCGTCACTAAACTTGCGGTGAGCAGCATTGCACAATGCACGCATCATCATCATAATGCACTATGATATTTGATCGAGAAAATATGGAGATAATCAGTCGAAGGATGTGCATCAGCATGGCCTTAAATGAACCTCATATCCCTATTATTTTAGGGGATCTTGATGTTACGGGTCAAAATGTTAATTAGGACTGTTTTTTTATATTATAATGACAATGAGAAATTTTACCATGATAAATAGGAACATTAAGTTCTAATAATCATTCTTATGTCTGAATTCCCTCAGGTTGATATCACGAAAGAAAGCTTCATTCCAATCCTGACGAACACAACACTTGACTTGGACCTGATCGTCTCAGCGGCGGACTCCTTCTTTGACACCCTCGTGTCCAGCGCCGTAGGCTCAAGGGTGCGTTAGATGCCTCTAAAATAATAATGAAATATACATTTAAGATAGCTATATGGATGTAGTAAAATATAAACGTCTGAAATAATAATGACATACACATTTTAGTTACCTATATGGAGGCAGTAAAATATAAACGTCTGAAATAATAAGGAAATACACATTTTAGTTACCTATATGGAGGCAGTAATGAGCATTGCGCTTCAATACAAAATTCCTGGAGCATTGCGTTTCAATACAAAATTCCTGGAGCATTGCGTTTCAATACAAAATTCCTGGAGCATTGTGTTTCAATGCAAAATTCCTGGAGCATTACGTTTCATTACAAAATTCCTGGAGCATTGCGTTTCAATGCAAAATTCCTGGAGCATTGCGTTTCATTACAAAATTCCTGGAGCATTGCGTTTCAATACAAATTTCCTGGAGCATTGCGTTTCAATACAAATTTCCTGGAGCATTGCATTTTAATACGAAATAATTGGTGATGATTATAAATAGTTTGAACGTTTACATCGTGCAGGTGTCCACTGCTACGGACAAGATCAACGAGCGACTGGGCGCCAGACTCGGTGATAAACGGTCCGCACTTGAGCCATTAATGCTGACGATCAAATTTAGAATTAGTGGCAAATTGAAATGATTAAAAATGCATGCAACTTATACTACATTCTCGTGAACAAAAAAAAGGTTTTAATTTGTGTCGAGTAACGACTACCAGAGTGAAAACAAAAACTTGCAGTTAAATTATTGTAAAGATAGAAAGAATGAGGTTCTCTAGTCCATTTGAACAATGAAATAATGCATCGACGATTAAAATCATATTAAAAAATTGCTTGCAAATCGACGGAGCAGTCCATATACTTTTTATAAAGTAATTGCTAAAATCCTCATAATATGCGGTTCAATTGATTGCAATAATGTTCGTTGACAAGCTCAAGCAGCAATCACACTTCCCACGTTTTAAACTATACTCGAATAAGTTTCTAACTTTATTCGAATAAGATGAGAGACTTTATTGCAGGTTCCCGGCAGGAATACCCCCCATCGACTTGCTCGTCGCAGGAATCAAGCAGGATCTGCGCCAGAAGATGGATCCTCTGAAGATCGGTCACAAGATCGTGCAACTGCCAGCAGGCCTCAGCCTCAACGTGCGCAATAAGTGTGACAAGTGTCATAGATTTGAACACATGCTCGTTTAGTACGGAACTTGTGGGCGACATAGTTATTTTTCTAATTTTTAGATTTTTTATTTAATTGTTTTTAGTTAATGTAAACTCCGTTTGTAAACTCCAAGTTGCTGGATTTCGAATCCACGTGTTCTCAATACAGCTTTGTGTCCAACTTACTTGGGTTTTAGAATGAAATGCTTAACAGTTACAATATAATAAAAAAAATTCTCTTAAAATTCCCAAATGTGATGCATAGTCAAGGAAGAAATAATCGCGTCAGTAATTGAGGTAATTGTGCTCAGGCGAGCAACATAAGCGTGGCCGGGTTGTCCACCGTACACAGAGCAGGCGAAGTATCGTTACAGCTCATCGATGATCGTCTGCTGCTGGTGCTGCAGGTATATAAACCTCTTTGATCACTGTTGTGTAGGAATGAAACTGCATGAATATTACCTACCAGCTGATTATTTGCAATCTTCATTCTCGTGTTGGTGTGAACGAAATTCTAACATCCTACACAAACTTGCAGGAAACGCTTGTAATGTTTTGCAGGTACGGTATAGTCTTCACATGTACTATGATTCCACTGTTAATGATCCCTCATTAGCACGTAGAGTCTTTGACTTCACATTAAAAAGAACGATTTAATTATATTTTATTTCGTTATGAGCTGGGCTGCCAAGCTGTGAGTGTTCACGCCGACGTGGAGGTGTCGTCCATGGTCCTGCCCTCCATGAGCAGCAGTCTGAAGTTCACGCTCGACAGCCTCTCCATATGGGTCGAGGCGCAGCAGTCCGCGGACGTTCGACATCCTCCGCAACTGCGGAGAATACAAATAACCCTTGGTCAGAGAACGGATTACTCATATCATTGATATGCTTCAATCACAAGTTCACCAATAATTTAAAATCAAAGACATTCATTAGTTTGCATAAATCACAAGTTCAAGAATTTAATAGAATTTAAAAGAATTTAAAATCAAAAGAATTACAATAATTTAAAATCAAAGAAAGTATTCAGTAGTGAATTCACTTGGCGTTTTATTTGCTTTAATATTCATGGCGAGCAGATAGAAGATGATGCAAATATTGGGATTAGTTCTTTGTTTTTAAAATATCCTTCGGTGGTAGAAAATAGAATAAAATAGCAATTAAAACAAGGCAAGGGACTAAGTTGAGTATAGTCAGAAGTACGATAAGTGAAAAATTGATATATGTGAAAAACCCGATGAGGAAAAAAGTATGTTTTAAATTAGACTAAGTCGATGTAGTTCAAAATCAACACAAGCATTAAACTCTGAAGAATATAGAACTCAAGTCTACGTTTGCGACAGGCAACTTCCGACTGGTCGGCAGCGGGGAGAGTTCCTTCAGCTACCTGCTGGAGGCGGCGGTGAACACCCTGCCCAACGCCCTGCGCGGCACAATCTCGTCCGCCATACAACCTACGCTGCACAAGGTCGCGTGTAAACCATGGTTGAATTAAGATTCACTGCATTCATGATACACTGCATCCATGTGTATTAATTCAACCATGCGTGTAAACCCTCTGCAGATACAGAGTTACATTTTGAATATAGGATTAATGATTAAACTAATTGAAGATCCAAGAGCCGAATTTCATATATTTGGTCAATGATTAAACTGAATGAAGTTCCAGAGTTGAATTTCATATATTTGATCAATGATTAAATTAAATAAAGTTCCAGAGTCGTATTTAAAATATTGGATCAATTATTAAACCAAATGAAGGTTCAGAGTTGTATTTCAAACATTGGATCATTGATTAAAAGCATTAAACCAAATGAAGATCCAGAGTCGTATTTCAAATATTGGATCATTGATTCAACCAAATGAAGTTCCAGACTCGTATTTCATATATTTGATAAATTATTAAACCAAATGAAGTTCCAGACTCGTATTTCAAATATTGGATCAATGACTAAACCAAATGAAGTTCCAGACTCGTATATCATATATTTTATCAATGATCAAACCAAATGAAGATCCAGACTCGTATTTCAAATATTTTATCAATAATCAAACCAAATGAAGATCCAGACTCGTATTTCAAATATTTTATCAATGATCAAACCAAATGAAGATCCAGAGTCCCGTTTTGAATGTTTGCTGAGCGATAAGACTACCCCAGCTCCATCGATACCATCACAGGACGATGGTGTTTTAAGTCCAATTGAATATCGACCTAGTTTGTAAATCTGCGTTCAGTTCAGCCAGATGATGGATTTTTTCTTATATTGGCAAGAACATAAGGCAAAAAACAGCCCCTAACTATGACAAAAACTTCAAATTAATCATTGATCTATTGATCATATAAAAATAATAAGTCTCTGAAAAGAAAGACCGCGCCTTCAATAACAAATAAGTGCAGTAAGTTAGTTAGGTTACATGATAGGTTTCTCTTCTACGTTATATTCACAATTTATGTTCATAATTAATAAGGATAGAAGTATAACCTGATCTATTACACATTATTTCAGCCTGCATTTCTCATACGCACCGATAAATCCAATGTTTTAGTTTTGTTAACGACGTAAAATTTATTGCGTCATTGTAATCTTTATTCATCATCTTCAGATCATTCAGCAGCAGTTATGCGCTGATATAACCGATGCTTTAGTCTTCTAACTACGCATGATTTAATCATTATAAACATTACCGTCTACAGATCATCCAGCAGTAGTTATGCGCTGATATAACCGATACTTTAGTCTTCTAACTACGCATGATTTAATCATTATAAACATTACCGTCTTCAGATCATCCAGCAGTAGTTATGCGCTGATATAACCGATGCTTTAGTCTTCTAACTATGAATGATTAAATCATTATAAACTTTACCGTCTTCAGATCATCCAGCAGCGGCTCTACTCCCTGGACATCGAGGAGCTGATCGAGAAGAGGCTTGCGGCGAGGGCGGCGCGACGAGACTGACACTTGCATCATAGATTTATTGATATCTGAACAAATAAAATAGAAGTTTGTAATAATTTACCTGATTTTTAAATTAAAAGTTTGCCCTGTTTAAGTTATGATATTGTATGTGGTGGGAAATTTATTTACAATTTTTTGGCGTCATTTAAGGATTTTTGTTCATTCATTAATGTTGATGATCGGGTCATCAAATCTGACCTCCATGAATGTTGCGTAAGGACATGAATATATCTGAACCTTGCTCGACTGAATATTATTTACCTTTGTAATTTCAAGCACATATCCTCTACGATCATTGTTTAGTCTCTATTGCGCCATCTACTGCGAATAATATTTTAATGCAGAATGAGTGTTAATTAACTGAAAATTTAGAAATCAACTAAATAAAGTTAGACTGCGAAATAAGCTCCTTCAAACTCCCAAAGAAGTTCAAGCTAAAGAATTCAAGCGATAAATTAATACCATTTCTAGGAATTTAAAAGAAAAACAATGACAGAGAATTGTTTTCCATTAGTTTTCATTAGTAATTCATAGCAAATCAAAATATATATACGTTCCGGCTTGCGTTGTCAGCGATTTTCATGCTTTTGTTACACATACGAGGCTTGAATACAACTCACGAGTCACGAGTGCGAAGGTTGAATATAACTCAGGAGTCACGAGTGCGGGGGTTGAATATAACTCACGAGTCACGAGTGCGGAGGTTGAATATAACTCAGGAGTCACGAGTGCGGAGGTTGAATACAACTCAGGAGTCACAAGTGCGGAGGTTGAATACAACTCAGGAGTCACGAGTGCGGAGGTTGAATATAACTCAGGAGTCACAAGTGCGGAGGTTGAATACAACTCAGGAGTCACAAGTGCGGAGGTTGAATACAACTCACGAGTCACAAGTGCGGGGGCTGAATATAAATCACGAGTCACGAGTGCGGGGGTTGAATACAACTCACTGTCTCGTACAGAGTTGAGCTGTGCAGTGCTCAGTTACGGGCGCGCACTGCACAGCCGTGACAATTGTCGTGTGCGCAAAAATGTAAATTTTGAAAGCTTCCAAAGCCAATTACATATCCCTGTTTGCTTAAATTAGCTGAGCAAATGTTATCGAGAGAGTCCGGCCGTATGTCTTCTCCGATTAACTAGTGTCCGTGCTTCGCATTCTCCAATTATCTTGTCGTGGCCGCGCTTCGCATTCTCTAATTATCTTGTCGTGGCCGCGCTTCGCATTCTCCAATTATCTTGTCGTGGCCGTGCTTCGCATTCTCCAATTATTATGTCATATCTAAATTTATCGCTTCAGCCGCAGGGCATTCGGCTGCCCCTCATTGATCATGCAGCTCCTCTAACTGTATAATTGAGGTATGTGAATGTTTATGTATTTTTTACGAGTTCTGGCTCAAGCTATTGCCTATCGCCCATTTTATAAAGCATTTGATTTCAATGTGTGTCCGTACGTAAATAATTTGAATTGACAAATGATATCAGAAACGAATTGATTAAAGAATCTAATAAAGGGGATTATACGGCGGAATTGCTACAAGCTCATTTTTAACACGGTTTTTACTTGCCCAGCAGTTTCAACATAAAATAAAACGTTATTTCATCGGTGAACTATACGTGTTTCTTACCGAAACACTCTGCCACATGAGATCCTTGTTCACTTTGGAAGTTTGTTTACATTTTATACTGATTACATATCATTTGGAAGCTTCTATGCATATAAATTCGTATTTGTATGCTTCTATCACACGAATCAAGTAACAATTGATGTTTGTTTCTCTTCAACGGGGGTGTAGCTCAGTGGTAGAGCATTCGACTGCAGATCGAGAGGTCCCCGGTTCAAACCCGGGCGCCCCCTTGTTTTAGTTTTGAGGCTTGTGGGAAGTTTACTGCAGTGAAATCACGACCAAATAATAGCAGGTCTAAAACAACTCATTGAGTGAATTTCGAATATCCAAACTACAAATTATTAGAAAGTATACAAAATTATTCAGCAAACGAAAGTAGATAACTACAAAATATTTGTTTATATAAATTTTGACTAATTCACTAATAATATTTATTAACTTGAATCAGAAATTTATATTCTATAAGTTTTAAATAATGTTTTCGTTTCATTACAATTCTATTTCTGAAAAAATATATCTCCAACTCTTCACAGTAAATCACATTTTAGGAGCAGAAAGGTAAACATCTGGACTCATTTAAAATCAATTCTAATTGCTTCAAATCTACCATATAGTATATATTGCTATGACCTCCTTAACTATTTCAAAATGGATGAAAGCCGCTCACTAAGTGATAAGTTACTTATACGGACGAGCAACAACAATTACTAGAAATTCAAACACTATACGATGAAAATTTGATAGAATTAACTACGCATAGCTTATTTTTTTAAAGTAATTTTATTAAATTTTACGGTAGACCAAAGTAAATTTTTAGTTAAAATTGTCAGCCACGTGACGTTGTAAGTACAGGTTTGTGAGACGTGTAGGACGTGGACAGCTTATCGCCGCAGCCGCCAGCCTTTGTATGTACACAGCTGTGGCATGTGTGGCGGGCGAGCCATAGGTCTGTGTAATGGTCAGCCATGGCAATTGTGTATTGTTCTACTAATTGTGTCAATTGTGTATCATTATACAGAATAATACACTGTTGTACGGTTTGATGTCGTCTTCTTGTATATCGGATGTTAAGACAGGCTGCTCGGGAGTACCACTACCTTTCAATCTTCATTTGTATGCATTCAGAAAAATAGATGTATGATATGATTCAAATAGTGACACACTTCCTGTCTGCCATCAAAGAACGGTGGACGTACGTAGTCCTGATACGCTTTTTAGCCCAGCCATAATGAATCAGATTGAACCATAAGAAAAAGGGTGAGAAGTGAGTCATCATTCGGACAAGGTCTCTATCGTTACTCTGAGTGCACGAACTAGCAAGAGCTTATATAGCTCTTCATGAGCAGAATTTAGCAAAAAGTTTCTAAGTGGTGGCAGAAGCTCGCCGGGATGTTTAATTAATGCGGTATATAGTAAGTTAATTAATAATCCCTCCTGCCTTCACAACGTCGTGCTGCTCCTGCCTTCACAACGTCGTGCTGCTCCTGCCTTCACAACGTCGTGCTGCTCCTGCCTTCACAACGTCGTGCTGCTCCTGCCTTCTAATCGTTAAAAGGAAGGCCGATAACCCCGTATACTGCCTTATAGTATGCAATGCAGGACAATATATTTATATTATATTTCATATTATATTTTCAGGTGCCCAGCACCTCAAGAACCTGTAGGACAATGCTTATATTGCCAGGTGCCCAGCATTACGTACACTAAGTTAATTTAGTCTGCTGTGCAGTATGAGGCAGGCTGTAATGCAGACTAATAATGGCATAGACTCAGAAATCAAACATAAAATGAATTCGTTCTATAAATATTCTTCAAATCAGCAGGTGTAGAAAATGCGTCCATTTAAGCGTACAAAATGGAAGTAAGTAATATAAAGCCATCGTTGTTTTCTTGTGATTAATATTCTATATCAAATTATGAGCATTGAAATTCAGAACAGCAAAGCGTCGATTTAAATTATTCAGCGCATTAGACAGTTTGATCACTGCATACATCTTATACATTATAATCCCTGCTATAATTGACGGGCTATGAAGGACGGTTAAATCAAAATACCAGCAGTACGTTACTGAAAACGCGCACATAAAAATATTTATTGCAAGCAGAATTATCGAAGCTTTAAAACTTTCATATGAATAAATAATTCGGAGTGCGGAACTTCACAACATTTAAAGCATTATTAGAAACTTTATTTTAATTACAATTAATACGGAAATAAATATCAAATTATAAAAAGAGCGGTTCGGGACAATGCATTGATACCTGAAAATATGAAAACGTACAAAATTACACCTAGTTCATTGTAGCTTTATAATGTAGAAAAGCTATGCTGAATACATACAAATATTGTTACACTTATTTTAATAGGATTAGTTTTAAATTGCAAATCACTTCAAGAGAAACAATGTTTGAGATCACAAGAACATTATTGTTGAGTTGTCGAGGAACAGACATGCTCAGACATGCAAATTTAGGAGGTGCCTCTCACCACACATGTTATGGAATTATGAAATGAAAAACCTTTTATGGCAATTTTCCTTCGTATTCCAAGGGATATAGTCTGCAGCCTCTGCTGGAAGGGACTATGTCCCTCACTATCCTCCATTCAGTAATGTTCATAATTAACTTAGATCAGTTACGCGGCCTTCTGACTTCAATGTGAATCAAATCTAGGAATGTTGGGGGAATACTAAAGATTCATTGGAGGAATACTAAAGATATTATTGCATAGAAATTCATAAAACGGAGAAATACTGCATTGTATTTCTACGATTTACGAAAGGTGATTTCGGCTGTTCGGTCGTATCTTAAATCCAATAAATTATAACCATACATTCTTGCTACCTCAGTAAAAAACACGAAATAAAAACTCGCAAAGTTTTTCTCTTATTGAGATCATAAATTAATCACAAGCGACTAAGATTAAGTCTTAAGGCAGGTCCAGGCGCTACATTTTGGTCTGCGCGGTCTTAGCCCTCTACCGCCTGACATGAGTAACCGGAGCAATATTGTCACGAGCCAACTTGCCAAAATGAATACGTTCCAGTGAGCGCAAAATGACTTGCACTGATGGTTGCCGCCACGCAACTATCACCATCATTAAAATGTTCTCTGTTGCGTACAAACGTCCTCAGGTTGCTACACTCAATAATTTACGTATAATTTAAGATGAAAGTTTTGTTACGGGAGATTGACATACGGCGGTAGAGGGTTAAGACGGAGAAAAAAGATGCAATTTATATAGATTCCACATGGTGCAGATATATCTGTACATTTCGCTCAGTTTTGTGCGATATCGCCATAGAGAAGAGACTACTTTGGCCAATATTAGCATTGTGTCTTGTAGATTTCGTCTTCTCCAACCCTAGATCGAATCGATGTATTAGCTTTTGCCAATTATTTACGGTAAACACTTCTATTACAATTGATTATTTTTCACAACTGTTTCTTTATTTGCGGTTGCATAAATTCATTTGAATTTATCCACTAAACTCTTGTGGCCTCCCCTTTTTATCCATGTTACCATACTCTTTGGATTTGAAACGCCATATACATATTAAACCGTCATATAATGCAATAAATTCGGTGAGAAAATCCCGAGAACTTTGCCGAAGGTCAGATATTGTCGCCAGACGAATAAAAAATGAGGAACAAAATGTATCAGAAAACGGTACAAGTTTTGCAGTCACGACGCAACGTTTTATTGGCAGCGCGTTGAACTGTGCAGACAAAAGGTAGTGCAAAACTTAGCGTCCGGGCCGTCCTTTACATCACAAGGGATCTTTATTGAAGTAAAAAGAATTGCTATGAAAGACTTCCCACACAGACATAATTTCTCCCTAATGGTCGAAAAGTTCTCAAATAATATCTAAAATGTTATAGAAGAAAGTATTAATTGACAGTATTCACTATATATTTCAAGTTTGGCTAACCCATTACAAGACAAAACGCGCAGCTAAGTTAAAAACAGAACGAAGCATATATTTTTCGGAGGCACTTTAATTAGGGAACATATTACAACGAGGTACATTTTGCACATAGACTATCCACTGCACTGGAATGGTTGGCATACCTTCATCGTTAACCTCCTCCAATCCCCATCCATATCTCCCATTCCATTAAACTTGCACATTCATACCTCCCATTCCATAAAACTTACCATTCATACCTCCCTTTCTATTAAACTTACCCATTCAATAGCATTCATACCTCCCCTTCCATTAAACTTACCCATTCATACCTCCCCTTCCATTAAACTTACCCATTCATACCTCCCCTTCCATTAAACTTACCCATTCATACCTCCCATTCCATTAAACTTACCCATTCATACCGCTTTCATTGGACGCTGGTTAATAGTTAAAGCCTCGTATCAGCGTAGAGACAACAATCCACTCGATGCCATTATGTTTAAGAGGCTACATAAAATTGCTGCGTCCTAAAAGCAAGATTAATACTGACCAGGACTTGAAAATACTGCACAAAGCACAGCCTAGACAATTACCACTGATTGTGATCGTAATTGTGACAGCAATTTTAACCGCACTTGTGCAATAACCGTTATTAGAAAATAACGGCTAACATAGCCGAAACACTAACTCAGCATTTGTTCACACAGCGAGTCATTAATTTTTCTTTTTTAAAATGAATAAAATGTACAGTAAACATTTATATATGTGTGGTGTTCTGGGTGCGTTCCACGCATTTCATGGCAATGACAAACTCAGCTCAAATGGCTCAGATAAAACCTGAGAAGTTTACGACGATGTTAAGAATAAAGACATCGTGTATAGTTTTGTATACAGGAATACTATGAATATTTTGATGTATAAATAGAGGCGGCGTCCCCGAATGGAGGAAGGAACTGCGGTGGTCAGCGTCGTGGCGCCCGGAGCTCTCAGGAGAAGTGCGGGAATTCCGGTCCTGCGGGAGAAAATTGCTGCCGTGTCAAATTACCGACTTTTTGATAGCTTATTTTCTACATAGTGATTTTTAATGACGAGAATGGAGATAAGATTCATCGTTGGTGCGTGTATGCGAAATTATTTTAGATAGAATGGAATAAATAAAATAGAAATTAAATATAATAGTACCAAACTGATGAATCTCCAGCGGATGTGTTTCTGGATGAAACGCACAGCACCCAACATCCTAAGCCATCGTATTTATTATGGGCTATAGAGGCATTGTCTATCAACGAAATGCAATGAGTTTTACGAAACAACTGGAACAGACGTTCTCACAACACGAGAGTTATTACTACCCGCACTTTGCATTTCATTTGCACAATGCATGTGTGCCGCTCTCAGCGAAATATATATAATTATTGACTTGCAGATATGATTGATGAAACACGCAATCCGATTCTTGCCCTTCGTACGCAACTCAAATTATGTTATCGTATTCACAATGCAAGTTCTCATGGGGTTATAACACATTTATCAATCGTCTTAGAAAAATCGGAGAAAAAACAATGGGGAATTGAAATTCCGTTCCAACTGTTCATTTGATGTTGATAATATCAGACCATATATGCACACAACTAGTATCATAACGACAATAATTGCGAATGGTATATGGTACGCTTCATGTCGCTTATAAAACGGTTATGAATGAGCATGCGCAAGATTAACAACGGCTGCACTCTTATCTTCATCAGCCAGACAACGGTTAGACATCATTATCATGTTATGAGGGACAACTTGAACAAAACATTAAAAATAACAGGGAAAAAATATTCAAATTGCACCAAACCCTTTTATTAAGTAAACATAAAAGAAAACAACATAAAGTCATGCCAATAACTATATTTAAATCACAAAGATCAACCATTAACTGAAACCCAAAAATCTGGATGGAAGCTCCATTCCACAACCCTAACACAACAATAGCTACACAACAAAATAACAATAGCAACATGCAACAAATCCAACCACTCAATAAATAATAAAAACAAGAGATGTTAATTCATTCTCTCCACGGAAAAACAAACTTCAAAAGCAAAGGACAATCAAGATGCGGACAACAAACTTAAATTAGACGTCATGATAAACTGATACTACGGAATAAGTTTTTGATCTTCAAGTTGATTTGAGCGGTACGGCCACCGGCGGCACGTTTTGAATTTGATTCTTTGCAGCCAACAACTGACCCCCATTTGCTTAACTTAATATCAAAAATGAGCGAAGAAACAGCATCCTTAATAACACGAATAGGACCGGTCAACAAAAAAACGTCTAGATTGCATTAAAATACTTCTTTATGCCAAAGTTTGTTATTTCGTTATACGTTCTAACCGCACGAACCTCTAGCTGCAGACTACCGTACTTTACAAACAACTTATTGCTAATAGTAAGATTATCACAAAGACCTTATCGACACACGAGCCAAAATGAAAATAGCAGAACTATACATCACTAATAAAACTGCGATGTAGGCACTCCAAAAAGCAATATTATCTCTATAATATTTGCACGAGAGTAACGCTATTGCTAACTTTAACAGCAACATAGTCCCTAGTACATCGGAAAGCAAGAAATGCAGTCTACACGTTAACTATAAAAAGTATATGAAATGGAAGAGCTCGAAATACTTATGCACTAAAGGTTGGAAAAACATCTAAAACAGTTGGCTCAATCAAATTAAAGATGAAGAAGCAAAAGCGGAGAAACATTCAATAGAAGATAAAATGTGGACCCTGATAATCAAGCAGCACAGTAGACTTTAGATAATTAAGTAAATTATCACGAGGCCACTCGTGATCATCGAAGAGTTAAAGGAAGCTCACGGTCATCAATAACAAACAACTCAGGGGATGTCATCTATTACAAAAATTTCTGGCACGTTCAAATATTTGTAAGCGTTCCATCCTTACTCAAACATCGTCTTTAACTTTGACTTGCACATCTAAACATCTTTGTTTCTTTGCAGGGCGTGACGCGTGCAGGTGTTGGCAGATAAAAGAGTTCATTGCAGTAATAGGTTTAGTGGGAGGGGCATTTCTTTAAATTAACTCAATTAACTTGTAGCAGGTCTGCTGTCTTACCAATTTTGAACATCAATAATAAAATCGTTCGTTTAGGACTGGATTCGAGTTCTCAAATGAACTCGGCTTGATTTCCGGAAGTCGAGACGACCAATTCCAGAGAGCATTCAGCGAGAAAATATACAAGTAACTGGCAAAGTTATTTAAACCTATTGCTGTCATGTCCGTGAAATTATCTCTCATATCACAATTACTGCATCGGTCCTTTGAATTGATCGCAGCAGATTCTCTTGCTTTGGAGAAGATCGATCAGTGAGACATCCACTCTTTACTCATCAATGACAGCAGCTAATTTCTCATTAGAATGCACTGGAGTGTCTGTCTACAAACAATACCATCTTACAAATGCGTTCCAAGCCAACGCGAGTGTCAACCCTAGCTTGACTGTCGAATGACCATAGTGTCTTATAAAAGCTGTCTCGGTATATTCCACTTCAAGATGTAATAGAAAAATTGCTTATTTGAATAGGAAAGTTGATAAGTTTTTAGCTGCACTCTAATTAATCCGGAAATAGTTATTTAAATTAACATAAACAGTACCAACGGTCAATAGTGCAGGCAGTATTAACGAGTGCCCAGAGCTGCAGGTGACAATGGAGATTTGTGAAGCTTATTTCACCATCAAGCTATGAATAAGACCATAAAAAATATTATGCAAACGAAAAAAATACGAAAAAATTGCTAATAAACCCAAATATAAATTACATTTAATGCCCAAAAATAGACTAGGAATAGAGCTACTGGAATGCTTATGACTAAACGTTCACTTGATTTCATGCCGTCTTTCTCGTGCTTTATTTCCAGATTTAAAGACGATCGAATGATTGTGATGAATTTTAGTTCTACGATATTTTTAGGGAAGCATCATTATTGTTGTTGGATAAATCTTTGGTGAGCTAGTTAGTGTATCTAGTAAAATTAGGCTACAACACTGGCATCAATACTGATATTTGGACGGGAAGTGAGCAGACTCGATCTTGATTTTGATACTCAAAAATTTTTAGTTTTTCTTGAATTTTGAGGATGGGATCAATTAAAGCTGAGTAAACTTTCTGAATTCAGATCGAAGAGTAAATATTCAGTCAAACAGATTTTTAACTTAATTCAAAGGCATCCAAATTTTAAAGTAAATTGAAGGATCTTGATCGAGGTCAGTTGTCCTGACGAGAAGCTCTGAATGCCTTCGACTTTTCAGAGAAAAGCAATTCAGGAGCGTGACCTGAGGGCGGAGGGGAGGGATGTAGTAGTGGGCGAGTGCTTAAAGGGGATAAAAAATTAGGATAAGCACACAAATGTTAAAATAAAGGATATAAATAACTACTGTTAACGGAAAAGAAAACCCAAGCAATAAATATTCAAGAGTGGGTGGGGGATAATGGAAATGAACCTGATGTTATAATGCACATAGAACAAAGGCCACAATTTGTTACGTGAATATTTACATAGATACCAACCTGCCTCACAATCCAGCTTGAACGTAGCAGTATTTAAATATTCAAGCAGACCAATAATTTTGACCGCTTACTGTGCTCAGTTTGTTGTAGACCGGGGTTTTTATTTCGGTGATTTCAACAACTTATCTTACTTACTTTGACCAACTTATGGCCTATTTTAATTTATGTTACCTTTTTTGAGTAAGAAGGTAAAACCCATGATAGCCCAAAGTTAATGTTTTGTAAAATGATCATGCGTTGAAAATAACGATATTAATTTGCTCATATTGAATAAAACTTTCAAGAAATAACTCTCATTGACACAACATAATAATTAATGGCATACCGTGCTGAAAAAAGTTGACACCGAAGCAGGTTTTCAAGGGTGACGTTACCAGGGCTCATTCCAAGTCAACAGTCATTCCTGTAGATTTTTTTTAAAAACTTCCGTAATGAGAGACTAAAGTCAAGCAATGCATGAGCTAATGACACGTTAGTGACACGTACTAACAGCTGACACTCAGGATCTTTGCGTGTTACAGGAACGAAGCAAGAGGTGGAACTCTACGTACAAGCCAATGAATAGAACAAAACACTTACTAGTATGTAAATAGAAAAAAAAATATTCATGCAAAAATCAAAACATAGAAAAATTTCCTACAATGTTATATTGAATTAAAATTATTAATTATTAGAGTGAATTTAACGTTATTAACACACATGCATAATTCAGATCTTTATTTCAGTGTTGATCTTCATCTATGGTATTTTGTCTCGGTATTTTATAGCTTGTGGAAAAGTTCTTCCATGAAATCCAAATTGGAAGTAGCGTTTATGGAAAAAATATAAACGTGATTCTAGTATTAAATGATGGCAAACAAAATGCATACAAGCGAAGATAATTGAAAATAGAAAACTTGATTTTTTTCAAATATACACTTTGAAAAGTTTTTGTAACATACTTTGCTTGATAAAGAACAATAATTTTTGATATTAATGACAAGAGAGCAACTCATCTTGTACAGTTGAAATGGATTGAAATAAAGATCTGTGAATTTATAATGAAAACAGCATGGGGGAGATACTTGGCAAGTCCCGGACGGATATACCTCATGTATACATACGAATAAATGCCACAGCAAAAATACACATTCACGAGGAATTAAAATAATATGTTAAAAATTTTAGTACACTTCCCAAAGTATTAGGAATAAACAGGCTGTATATAGCAGCTCCATATGATTAGAAACGGCAGTTGTACTTAGCCCTGAGGTGCATTAGCTTATGTGATGGTAATATGATTGAGCCAACGTGTAAGAAACACTAATCCCACATTATTAACATTTAAAGAAGCTTTAATACAAGAGATTTAAAAAAAGTTAGTATAGAATATGAGCCCGTTTTTGTCACTCACTTCATACAAAACTATAAAAAGATTTAATAAGTATAATCCAACAGGAAAATAGTTTAGTTACAGTACCAATCAGTTACTGCAGTGTGAATTGGTCATAGCTGTGCAAATAGTGACTTAAAAATATAAAGAAAAAGCCTAATGATAGGAAATCACTAAAGTTTACGTAGTAATAACAAGACCAACCACTGTGCATAACCAAACCTCATGCGAGTCACGCTAACGATGTATTCTACAGAACTTTAATATAATATTAACATACATTACTGGGCCCATACTTTCAAAGAAAGTCAAGAGATCGTAAGTTCATCAGCCAATCATTGACGGCCTTTTAAGCAAAATCCATCAATCATAGTCAAGAAAATAGAGCGTAAGTACTTACGTTCACTTAGCGAATTTGGAAAGTACGGCCCCTGAACTGTAATATACAACGTTAGCATAGAGCCCTAATATACAACTGGAACAAACCTAAAAGCTACGCTTGTATAATAAAACGAAAACATCTACAAACAGAACATGAACAAACCAAACATTAGACCTAGTATGCGTATAATATTGCATACCATTGCAGTGGTCGTAGAACTGCGGCCGCTGGTACCGGTGTCCGATGCACTCCGTGTAGAAGCCCAAGTCCATGAGGCGCTCGTGGTCCAGGATCTTACGGCCGTCAAACACCCACGCCGGTCTCAGCATTGACTTGATCATCTTCTCGTAGTCAAGCGTCTAGAATATCAACATAGATATTTATAGATATTCTATGTATACAATCTTCTGAACAGAATGAAGTGTAGAAATCTCTTTTTCAACCAATCTCTTGAACAGAATGAAGTGTTGAAATTTAAGGAAAAAAGTTGATTCTTTGAAAGCGAAATTAGATCGATACTGAAAATGTTAATAGTTTTACTATTTATAAAAATCTTACAATCAGCGTATTTCACTAGGATAATTATAATTCGTTATTGTTTGAAAAAATGTTCTAGATAAAATAACACTCAGCCACTCACTACGAAATGCAACACGTTGCAATATCCTAGTTCTGAAGTAAGGAATAATATCTGACATGCTAGCATAGGGATTTGGACAATGTAAAAATTATCTGAACAGCTAAGCAGACTTTTGATGAATGCATATAGACTATCACTGATATTTGTTTGCCACCTTAATTGATGTCTAGGTAAAATAGATTATTTCATAGAAAAAAAAAGCCAAGATCGCACCGACCTGAGAATTGGTTTTAAAACAAAACTTTTTGCCAACAAACCAAGAAGTTCTCAAATTCCCAGAGCATTGAAGACAGCAAGAAAGAATCGATATAAGTAAATCTGAGTGACGAAGAAGAAATATGTAGCCAGCGGCACTACAGAAAACCAATCGTTCGAGAGGTCGCGGTCACGGCAATGAGGCTTATTACACCAGAGAAGGAAAGTGCACCGAATCCTGCCTACACAGTCACTTATATCCATGACTGAGACAAGCAGTGGAATAAAGTCATTGAAATGACAATAAGAACAATGAAAATATTTCGTACAACCCAGTAGACTTAAAAACAAACAGAGACACGAGTCAGAAGACTATCCTCCTCCCATGAGGAGAAATAATTATAATATATTATATTATACCTACTTATTTCCCCTATATTATTTGCTAATAATATTATACGACATCCTATTTAATTAAGCCATAGAAATAAAGAGATGATCACTCGCCTTGAACTCGTCCCACTCAGTGAGGACGACGATGGCGTGCGTGTTGGCGGCGGCGCTGTGAGGATCTGCGTGCGTCGTCACCAAGTTCTCGATGCGCTCACGAGGCAGCGCGCACACTCCGGGGTGACATAAGTCACTAAGGATTTGTTCTGTCTCGACCTGCACACCCCAATTATATGTCATATATATGTCACAAATGGCACTAATATGTCACAGTACAATAATATAACAATGTGCTCGCGAGGCAGCGCGCACACTCCGGGGTGACATAAGTCACTTAGGATTTGTTCTGTCTCGACCTGCACAGCCCAATTATATGTCATATATATGTCACTAATATGTCACAGTACAATAATATGTCATAATAATGTGCTCGCGAGGCAGCGCACATAGCCAGGGAAGTCATTCATGATTTGTTCTGTTTTCACCTGCACAGCGCAATAACATGTCCTCCTAGCATGGAAATGTGACTCTCTTTCACTGAAATTTAAGCGGTAAATTCCTACGAAAAGATTAGGGACGTAATTAAAAAATAAACAAAATGCTTGAGTTGCACACAGTTCACGTTCTCCCGGTCACACACCAAAGGCAACGAATTGTATGAGAATACAAACGAATATTTCAACGTCACTTAATTATTCCATCCATGAAATATTCCTACACGCGTAGTAAGCGAGCAAATATTAAAATTAGTTTCATTGCTACGTTGAAGTTGACTTTTGGAACGCGAACACGATGTCTAGTTTTAAATGAATCATAAGCATACAGCCGATTGAATCAAACTTCAATCAAGCATCCAGAATCACCAAACATGTAGTCGTGTCTGCCATCAATAACTGTATCACAATTTTCAGAAAATAATTCACTTTAATCCATTGAATATGGATAGTAAATGACGACGAAGATCACCTTCGGATCGTAGATATTGAGCCTGGCGCCCTCCTCGAGCAGATGAGCGCACACGGAGATGGCAGGACTCTCTCTCGTGTCGCCCGTGTTCTTCTTGAACGCAAAGCCGAACACGGCGATGGCTTTGTTGGAGATCGTGTTGAAGAGGCGCGATACGATCTTCTTGGCAAACCTGCACATTAACCGATCTTAACTCTAAACAATGTCGCCACATTGCAAAGTTATACACCAAAATTTGATCAGGATTAAGTAAAAGGTATGTAGTATTCCTTCAATTTCTAATGTATCATACCGCTAAAGTTGTTAAGTATTTTATTAATTAGAGGGAAAATCGCAATTCCTTTCCGTTTGGAACAATTTGAATGCAAATTTCTGGCAGAATGAACCATAATTGATTTAGAAAGTATTTAAAAAAAATTAATTATATAAATATATATTTTCGTGTTGATATCACAAATCAAAACCTTGATTTCTGGAAGTCGTTCATAACGATGACCTGCATCCAGTACTGGGCCACTTCAGGCAGGTTCAGGCACTCCGACACGTACACCAGGTTCAGGATGTCTTTCTGGAAGCAGCTCCCACCAAAACCTGTAAACACAATTAGCATTACAATAACTCTTGTCTAGATATGCCGGGCCTGAATATTATTTGAATATTACGGGGCTTTTTCAAGGCAATGAGCAAAATTATTTTTCGTCCTTGGAAAAAACCTGTCCACGCCAGGGGAAGGAACTATCAAAACTCAAGTACACGCAGCGGCCTAAGTACGCGTAGCGTTCGATTTCTCGACTGTGATTGGTGTGTAAAGTTTTAATATCTGTCAGTCATAACGGCGTAATGAACTCGTAATAATTTCTGATAATACGGTCCAGGTTGACGTCACTGACCAACGGACGCCTGCAAGAACTTGCTGCCGATCCTGGAGTCGCGGCCGACGGCCTCGGCGACCTCGGAGATATCAGCGCCCGTAGCCTCACAGATGGCGCTCACTGCGTTGATGCTGCTAACGCGCTGTGCTAGGAACGCGTTGCTCACCTGCATTCAGACATTAACTTGTCAAAATTTAATATGGACCAGCACTCAAATAAACATTAATTTCTATCAACTTAACCTTAAAAACAAAAAACACTTTCCCTCGACAAGACCATCGACATGGTCAGTTTGTCGAGTCGAGTAACCACGGCGTTGCACCGCTGATTTAAAAAAAATTATGCCACATCACGCGAGTTATATTCAATTATCATTAGACATTGATATTTTCATCGTATTTATTAAAGTAAAAGAATGCGCACCAGTTTGGAGAGCTCGCTGCTCCAGGTGTTCATGGTGACGATGCGCTCAGGCGCCACCCAGTGGCTGTACACGGCCGTGAGCAGCGCGATCGCCTCCAGGCCTGCGGGCGTCTGGCTGCCTCCTACACATACAAGCTGGCTTGTTATATCAGCTTTATTACCCCATAATATGAGGCAAATTCTACATAACAACACAACACAAGCTGACTTGTTATATCAGCTTTATTACCCCATAATATGAGGCAAATTCTACATAACAACACAACACAAGCAGGCTTGTTATACCAGTTTTATTACCCCATAATATGAGGCAAATTCGACATAACAACACAACACAAGCAGGCATGTTATACCAGCTTTATTATCCCATAATATGAGGCAAATTCGACATAACAACACAACACAAGCAGGCTTGTTATACCAGCTTTATTACCCCATAATAACTAGGAGGCAAATTCAACATTAAAACACATCTTTCTATGCAGAAATAGTTTAATCAAGTTAGAAGCATTATCATTTGTTCCAATTCTCATTTTAACTGTAGAATTCCACAATGACTAATACACATGCAGCCTCACTACTTCTCTATTTTTTAATTAATTTCTTTAATTAGGCAAATAAATACATAAATATGCTCGGAAAACAAACTGCCTAAAGCCTTATCAACGTCCATGGAATTTTATCTTTGGCTTTGAAGAATCAAAGTCTATCTATCTTCCTTGCAAGTTCTTTCTTGTTCATTCATATTTTTCCTGTAGTTCATTCATGTCAAGGAAACCACAATAATATTCAACTGGATTTTGCACATCAGGAATTCTTTCTATCTTAAATAAACCATCGTAGAAGAAGATGTATAATATTCACATGAATCCTTAATTAAAACAGACGAAATAAACTTATCTTGCTAACAGCAAGCGAATTTGATAGCATTACAGGGGAATATCAATAATTCCATTGACCATTCTCAAATATATATTTATTTGATTTGCCATAAAAATCATTTTAGAAAAGTCGCCATTTCAATGACTGTTTGGGCTGTGGAAGCAATTAATTAACTGTTTAATTCAAGGAACATTTCAATTGACTGTTTGGGTTGTGGAAGCAATTAATTAACTGTTTAATTGAAGGAATAATTTAAATAACTGTTAGGTTCGCGGACTGGATGAACTCACCGATAAGCACGCGGTCAGGGTTGAGCAGGTCAGCCACCGCGGTGCCCTCAGCCAGGAACTCGGGGTTCGAGAGCACCTGGACACACCGCCATTTTTATTTCAATAACTTTCAAAATATACCATAATTCAAAACCTCCGTATCTGTTACTTGAAATATATAAATTTAGTTCATAAACTTGAGAGAGAAAAAGTTATAGTTTCATTGTTGTAGCAATAATATTTTCGTTAATAATGCACCTGGAAGTTAGAGGCGGCAGGCGAGTTGGCACCGAATATCTCACTGATGCTGGCGGCGGCTCTCACCGGCACGGTACTCTTCTCGACCACGACTTTGTAGCCCGACGCGCAGCCCGCGATGATGCGAGCACACGACTCTACGTGCGTGAGGTCAGCAGCACGACCCTGCACGGACCACGAGTTACGTGAGCGCCACTACCGTGCATTGTTTAGGCATGGTGCAGCCGTAGTGCATCACGACTACAGTGAGGGACCTCACTGTGCCAGGCAGACACGGCAGCTGTACCGTGCCGCTGTGCCAGGCAGACACGGCAGCTGTACCGTGCGCTGCTGCTCACTCTACCAGACAGACACGGCAGCTGTACCGTGCCGCTCACTCTACCAGACAGACACGGCAGCTGTACCGTGCTACTCACTGTACCAGGCAGACACGGCAGCTGTACCGTACTGCTCACTCTACCAGGCAGACACGGAAGCTGTACCGTGCCGCTCACTCTACCAGGCAGACACGGCAGCTGTACCGTGCCGCTCACTCTACCAGGCAGACACGGCAGCTGTACCGTGCCGCTCACTCTACCAGGCAGACACGGCAGCTGTACCGTGCTGCTCACTCTACCAGGCAGACACGGCAGCTGTACCGTGCTGCTCACTCTACCAGGCAGACAAGGCAGCTGTACCGTGCATCTTCACCATGCATTACATTACATGGTAGACTCGTAAGCTTTACCGTGAAAGCTTCTCTTACCACGTAGAGTTGACTACACAATTTAATGGAGATTACTCATCTACCAATCAGACTCACGGCTCAACCGCTGCTGACCTTATAGAGAAACACAGTAGGTAGTTATCCTACAACCAAATAGCTCACAGTATTCACCGTGAGATTTTAAATAAAAAGCCACGTACTTTCCCAGCTCCGTAGGTTTTAGTTGGCGTGTTCACAGAGATGAAGATAAGGTCAGCGTTGACGACACCTTCCTCGACATTGGTGGAGTAGAACAAGTTCTTCCCTCTGCACTTCATCACGATTTCTTGCAGACCTGGCTATTGTTCGTAAAAAGATAAAAATTGTAAGTAATTTAATAGAAATCATTTATAAATTGCTTTTCTATTGGAAACATTCACTTCCATGTTAGATATAGAGTACTAGTGTGTATTAATGTCGTCACTGTTAACTGAACAAAAATATCGAAATTATGACATACCGGATACCTAACTTGCCAAATACAGTGCAGCAAAGAAGCAGATAAAATACGACGGCATCCATAGAACATATTAGTATCGTCTAAGACGCACAAAAGGAGCTACAACACACAGAATTTAGAGAATTACAGAGTTATTGATTAGAAGTCGCTCTCGAGTTACGTACATTATGAGCATCGTATCGTGCATACGTACAACATCACAGTTTATCTGTTCAACGTGCCGATGCGTATTTTGCATTTTTTATTAACATGCATATTATTATAGAGAGGTTATTCAGTTAATTTTGATGCACCAACAATAGAGCAGCGTCTGATTAATGGGTATACTGTACTAACTGTAGGTATACGGTATACTGCCTATTGTACCTATTTTTTTCTTTCATTCAGTCATACAGTTTTTTATACTATATACTTTATTTTCTCGTTCATTCAGTCGTAGATGAAAACACTTACATGCTTACCTCATATATTGGCAACTTGTCGGAATTCCACTGAGCAATGCGTATGGGGTTTTTGTCGACGACAGTGACGGTGATCTCGGGACATTTGTGGGCGATGATGGCACAAGTGGGTCCCCCCACATACCCAGCACCGATGCAGCAAATGCTACGGATGCTCTCAGGAGCCTTGTTCTCAGTGCTACAGGCGGACATTTTCACTGATCTCTACGAAATTAAACACGAAATGGTCTGAAATAAATAATTTGTTTGCGATTATAGTATCAAGACAGCAACAAGTTTATACCAATTTTTAAGAAATTTGCAGAGAGTTCACAACCAACGAAAAAACTTATTTTATTCATAGCAGCAAAAAGAAGCTAATGATGAAGATAATTTATTGCCGTAACATAAATAAGAATATTTTAGCGAATTTAAATTGCACGCTCAGGAAATGTATGCCTGTAATGTTCGAATAATAGTCAGTATGAACAAAATATTGATTCAATGTATCTTGTTTAAATTCTGTAGCAACTGGACAGCAGTGCGAAGGGATCTTATATCTGGGTTATCGTTCACGCCCGAATTGCTCACTGCACCAAGCTGTACATTCCAATTTAACAAGTAGTACTAGTAAATAATTAATACTTAGCGTTCCATTGGCATTCAAACTAATAATAAGGTCTCGGAAATTCAATTTAAACTGCCTGAGAGTCTCGGAATAGACGCGTGGCACTCGACTCGTTCACACACTTAATAGCATAGGTATAATATTCACGACGATTAGATATGCTAACAAAATGAGTAGTTCAGTTAACAAAAAATCGTGAAATTTGGTCCTGCCTACGAAATGAACATCACGCTTCAGCCTAAAAAATTTGCTTTGTTGCAGTAAAGTCAAATTACGTAGTTACCAAGGTCCTTCAACGTTTAATTCGGCTATATCAACGGCAGAAAAAAATATCTAACTATAAACATCAACAGCTGACACGTCAGTAATTAAAAACCAACAAAATAAGACTTCATACACCGCAGCGAGTTTCGTTACAAAATGTCATTAACTCTTACCAATTCGCTTTTTATATCAAAGATAAAAAGTGAGGGAGGAAAACCCTGCATCAACCCACTAAAGGAAAAAACTTTCTGCAAACAGGGAGGAAGTCGGAGACAAATTCAGCTACTACAACGAAACAAGGAAAATTTTATATTAGCCGGTTAAGTGCACCAATGTTCATACCATTTATAATAACATGATGAATGTCATAGGAAACGAACAAACATAGAAATTGATATTATTTCAATTGTTTGTGAACGCGAAATATAGGAGATGAGATTTTCAGGGCGTAATATAGCTTTGAAATCAGTTTACGATTTTTACCCGGAGTGCTACATTTCATCACTCCGGGTAAAAATCTGCAATAGTATTAATATTTTCAGGAAGTAAATCGAAATCGCTTTTCGGGTCAGAGAAATAAAAGCTGCCTCCGGCGCTATAGCACAGCACGCGCTATCGTCCTGCAGCGCTACCGACCTGGGGCACTACCGAACTGTGGCGCTACCGAACTGTGGCACTACAGAACTGTGGTGCTACCGAACTGTGGTGCTACAGAACTGTGGCGCTACCGAACTGTGGCGCTACAGAACTGTGGTGCTACAGAACTGTGGCGCTACAGAACTGTGGTGCTATCGCTTTTTGGGTCAGAAGTTATCTCAGCATTTCAGAAACAAGTTTAGGCTCATTTTATAGCTCTTTGTGAGGGCTATCCAATGGCATCTTCAAAAAAATTCCATATGCTATTCGTAAGGTGCCAAATGCAAAATAAAACCGTCCCAATTTACCCCTGGGAATGGGGTAATCTGGGACACTTGCAATACAAATTAATTTTAAAACGTTTGAAGCATGCAGAGTGTACTCATCCATTACTAACAGTACTTTGGAGTCCTCCTCTTTCATTGTAGATGATGTAGATGTAAAATAAATGACATTTTCTGTGATTTTTACTTGTTTTTCCTTTATTGATATTATATTACCATATTCATTAATTATCATATTATTAATGTGATACGTATTACTGTATCCATGGACATGCCATTGAGCATTGACAATGACCTTGTCCACTGCAAGCTTCATATCAGCAGCCATGTAGCATTTCTTCTGTATCTGTAAGCTTACAGGATGGTTTGTAATTTCGCACAATTTTAATTGAGTCAAGTGATTTCACTATAACAAAAAAGATTGCAAAAAACATACCTGAAACAGAAAATAATGTTTTAGTGACAACTATAATATGTTTTGGAGAAATAAATCATAGTTTAGGTCAATTGCTTTTCATTCTATGATGCCCGGTGCACAATTCTATGTATAGCATTCTATGTACAATTTTGTGATGACCGATGATGCACTAATTTTTTGAAAAGTGAATTTTTTTTTCACTGAGCAAGGTAAATGTAATCAAAATTCTTTGTTGTTAATCAATTTTTTTGTTAACTGAAACCTTTGCTGAGGTTCTACTGTAAATGCATTTTTAAGGGTGTCCCTAATTACCCTGGGGGGGATGTCCCGAGTAGCCCCGCATTGCGGAAATGGCTGCCAGTTTTTTTTTTTTTTTGGAATGAGATAGGCAAATTCTGTCAATTACGTATTCAAGCCGACACCTAGGTGCAACTTTTATGTAAGGAAAATTTTTTAATATGGCAAATATTTTTTTTTGCTCCAGACCTTAGCCCCCATTTGCAAACTATGACACTTTCCTCAAGTTTGTCATTTGCATATGTAACTAGAAGAGTTCTACTACAATGCACCAAAACCTGCAGTTATTTGGAGTTATTTTACCAAAAAATATAATTGATTTTACCACCCGGTCTAAGTTATCCCAAGGGCTGGGGTAACAAAGACCATCACTTTTTTTGAAATTACATAAAGACTATGAAAGGCAGGAGCCAGCAATTTATGGTGAGTGAAGCTAGAGTATAGACCTGTATTTTGCATGTTTCAATTCAAGTTTAATTTAGCTAGTAAAAAAATGGCATCATTTATAAAAAAAGTGGTCTAAGTTACCCCATTTTACGGTATCTCGCACCGAAAGTCAAGATGAACATCACCATAGAGGTGGAAGGTCTCAATTATTCATCACCTTCAAGAGGCGGAAGGTCTCAGATGTCCAGCCCGCTGAAGCTGGCTCAAAAGAAGCAGCGTTAGCATCTCAAAGAGATGAAGTGACAAGGAGGGACAGGTGAAAAGCAACAGAAACGAAGACACTCGAACAAGAGGTTGCTTACACGGGGCGTCGGCCGCCCGCACGAGAGAGACAGAGAAGGGAAATGTAAGGAATCCTGCCTACATAATAACTTAACCCCACAACTGAGACCTACAGTCAGACACCGTGAGCTCAACAGTGGGGCGCTCAGGAACAATCCCTCTAGGAATGCGAAATCCCATAGGACTTCTGACGAGCACAGACACGCGTCAGAAGTCCCCCCTGAGGGGGACTCTCCCTCAAGTTCATTTTTGAGACCTATAAGTAGACCAGTAAAGTATCATGGATACCAGCATTATCATACTTAAGAAATTGGTTTAAATCTTGAGTTATTGAGGAAATTGAAAATGAACTGATTCCAAAAAAGCTCTGGTTTGCCACTATGCTACAACATTTCTATGAAATGTGGGACGCGTGTCCTGATTTACCCCGCCCGTCCCTTTTTCCCAGTTTGAAAGTATATCATTGCTTTTAATTTAAAAAAACTTTTAATTTCCACTGATAATAATAACCTTCTATTCCTATTTATCTCTTAAAGTCAGAGGAACTGCTAAATTTAGCATCCAGTTTCATTTAAACATGCAACTTTGTACTAACTACTAACATCAGTAACAATAACATGGTAATGATATCATTAAAAAATTCAACCTTTCAATCTTGAGCTAAGTTAAGTAAATTATGATTCAAACGGGAGCAGGACTATTTGTTACTGACCGTTAAGTTATGCCCGTACATAGTGGCAACTGGCAAAGCAGAGAGTTTTTTAGACTCTCCCTCAAGTTCATTTTTGGGTCCTAGGCTATAAGTAGACCAGTAAAGTATAATAAAAGTAGGGTAAACGCGGTATATTCCGACACTTTAAGGACGCATCGAGAAATGAAAAACTATAAAAAAAAAACCGTATGCGTTACGTAAGTTCTGTTGCCTTCACATGACTCTCAAAACACTTCACTACGCGTCAGCAACGATGAAACGTCAAAAAATTTTGCAGTATTTCGACACGCAAATGTATGACGTCACCATTTCAACCATCAATGAACGCATGGAACTAAAACAAAGCTTAATATAAAGGAAAAACTAGAGAAGTGACGGAATTACCTACGATGTCGGAATATACCGCGTTTACCCTATTATCATCCATAACAAATTATCCACTTATCCAGGCTTATCATCCATAACAAATTGGTTAAAATCTAGAGAAATGAGGAAATTATAAGTGAACTAATTCTAAAAAAATCTCAAGTTTGTCTTTACGGCATTAGCATTCCAATTTCCAGGCTCCAGCTGTAGCTGTTCCTGACACTGGCCATTCCATTAGGCATAACCCATTGGGCCATTAATTTTCAATATAAAATATAATCAGGCTATAATTCGGTATAAATCACTACTAAGTACACAAAAGTTTGTAGTATTTTTAATAATAATGTATTCTACCAGTTTTTATGCTCTGTATCCTTCCTGTGCGGCTGTGCCGACTGCCGAGGCTGTGCAGGCTAACTTAGCAATATTAGCATCAGCTATTTGAGCCTGCGTGCTGACTGCATAGTCGAAATGAGTATGAGGCTGCGCTGTACACGACTACGGTGTCGACGTTGCATGTAAACAAACAGTTTTTTCATAAAATCCGCTACTCCGGATGATAGAAAAACTATCTTACTTTTAATTAAAATAATTACTAAGCATAAAACGCAGGTGTTAAAACGCAGCCTGCGAGAACAAAGTAAAGAGACTTGATTGGAAATTGATTGAATTATTAACCGCCAATATAAACCTAAAGCAGTTATAGTGTTCCATGCTGTTCATACTAATTCTGAATTGCTGATGATGTACATCATAAACATTGATATTGTGATGTACCGAGTGCATGTGGCCTTAGAAGCTACTTGGAGCATGACTCTATCGAGTTCCAATTTCTACTGAAAATAATGCCTACGCTTCTTCCACATCTCATTGCCAATATTGCATAATTGTATTCTGGTTTCTCTATGGACATTTTGATTTCTCAATGGATATTATTCACCCATTTTGTAAATATTGAACCACTAGTAGGCCCAGCGGCAACATTATAGAGTTCCAGGATTGGATCAGCAAGTTATGGGCGGACTTCAGCTTTCTGCGACAGTTTTGGTCAAATTCGCGAAGAGGCCGCACGTTAGAGCAGCTTAAAACTGGAGCAGGGAGTTGCGTGTTCGAGACCCGCTACAAGCTGTGAATGTTCTGTAATGTCAGAATCGGCGACATGTCTAACGGCATAACCAACACTGATATCGCTACACTTTATTACACAAAATACATATTGATTGTTAATGAATAATTATGACAGTGGGCAATTTGGTGCTTCACAGATATAACAGCGTAATCTTATCTTCGTCACCAAAAAGCTACTCTATTTTCTCTCAATTGAAAAATATTTCAGGTGATCAGGCAATAAGTATATTCGTCGTAGATGTTCAAAACGCAAATGTTTGTTGGAGGCGATTTAACCAAAATTAAGACTGGCAATTTTCATAGGTAACGTGGGATATTTTGATGGAGTGTAAAAATTGCGGTCACGTATGACCGACCGATCGAAGATAACGAGAAAATGAGCTACACTGAACGCAGAGTTTTAAACCTCAGCAAAAAGCTTATTTGGTGAAAAAAAACTGAAACCGCTCATAGTTTTTAACCAATGGAGTCACAGAGATCGTATTGAAGAGGCATACGAACAAGGGCAGGTAAATGTCATGTTAAACCTAAGCTTTTTATTTAAACTTGGTTACAACGCAATAGCCAAACAACAAATGTCATTCAAAGAGTTCAAGGCTGGCTGAACAGAGAACAGGGCACACCTGGCACATACAGAAAAATTACTGGGCAATTTTATCCAGAAAGCGACAGACTTGTTGCTCGTAACATTGACACACCCATATGTGCCCGGCCAAACTGGAACAAGTTTTCCCACATAAAGGCAAAGAATGCTGCGGTATTTGGACATAGTCTCTCTCATTCTTCTAAGTGCACAAGGTGTCACCTGCATGGATCAGAGGCCGCTGCAAAATCCTAAATAATGAAGTTACTGATTAATAAAGAATTTTGCCTGTATATAGAATCGCGCGTTCAATGAGTTACATGTGTTGTAGGAGCATCTCTATGAAGACTTACCAATTGCATTTACGGTCGCTTATCAACAATAGGTTTAATTACAATACAATTACAACGGGTATAAATTACGAATATTTAAGAAAATTAAAATTATTTTAAAAATTAAATAGTAAGTTACCATTGCAGTGATTAAACGCAGTAACGCACTTGAGTATTCGTAATGAATAAGCAATAATTATTTTTTTCATTTAATTCTGTCCTGAACAAATCAAAATAGAGTGTTTTGCTCTAGCTGAGAATAGAGTGTTTTGCTATCTTTATTCCTAGCGCCGCACTAAAATCTAAGTTATGAACCCCAAAGTCGGGGCTGGGCTCACAAATGTTATTGCGTTATTCATTTTCAAAAATTATAACAACAGTACGTACACCTCTCTTATTTCAATTTTTACCATATTAGGCATGGGGGATGGCCACCTAAATATCTCAGCGCCACGTAATACAACAGATTGTCATCCACCACATTCATGACTCATCGTCGCGTTCCGTCACACTGAAGCGCAGAGCTCTAATGCCTGGTAGTTTTATCACAATCGTGCAACAAAAAAGAAATTATTTTTCAGCGGATTTTTCTAATTTATTTTGATGCGAAATAATATTATTAGAATATTGTACAACTGACCTCCGTTATCAAACTGATGAAAGTTAATAGTTAAATTTCAGGCGCAGATTCCGTAGACTTTTAAACTTATTTTTTTGGCCTTCTTTCGAGGATAGCAACACGTCATTCTATGTGTCTGACCTTCTGCATTAAAGCGTAGAGTTTGAAGATTTCCTAATTTCAGAAAGTTAACGAATTTCATATCTTCAAACGAAGATTTTCAGAAAAAAATATTCTGCGGGACCCAATTTTATTCTATTTAAAATATTCTATTCTATTAAAAATATTCTATTTAAAAATATTCTGCGGGACCCAATATCAAAATGTTTTAGTTCTCAAATGTTAAATTAAATTCATTATTTTCATTGATGAATGGCCGTTATTCCAAACATTATTTTATGAGGCTAAAGTCAAATAATTTATTAGTGAGAACTACTCATGAAACAATTGCTTTTGAGTCACAACGCCTATGGTCATGATGTTTCAGGCGTATACAACATACATAAAGATTAGTGTAGTTTGGCAGAAGCTGTTCTTTAATGCAGGTTTTGTTGAAGACCAGAGAGTATTTCTTATTGAAGAAATATTATTTTATTATCTTATTTCTCTTAACATACATAAAGGCGCATATAACATAGAAACAGGCGCATGTTTTAGGTGCATACAACATACAAACAGGCGCATGTTTTAAGTGCATACAACATACATACAGGCGCATGTTATAGGCGCATACAACGTACATGCAGGCGCATGTTATAGGCGCATACAACATACACACAGGCGCATGTTTTAGGTGCATACAACATACATACAGGCGCATGTTTTAGATGCATACGACATACATACAGGCGCATATTTTAGGCGCATACAACATACATACAGGCGCATATTTTAGGCGCATACGACATACATACAGGCGCATGTTTTAGGTGCATACAACATACACACAGGCGCATGTTTTAGGTGCATACAACATACATACAGGCGCATGTTTTAGGTGCATACAACATACATACAGGCGCATGTTTTAGGCGCATGCAACATACATACAGGCGCATGTTTTAGGTGCATACAACATACATACAGGCAACATTGTTTTCTAAGGTTAAATAATTATTTAGTTAAATAAATGTTGTTGTGAACGCAATATTTTCTCTAGGTGCGAAGCTCATTTAGTGAGATTACGAAATTAATAAACTTCCATTTCATTGATTATGTTTTATAATGCCTTTTCGAATTGTTTGATTGTTCATATTTTTGAATATTGTAGACATGTTAATGTAGGCCGCGTAAGTTATATAACATATTTGTGTGGACTTCATTACATAAACCTTGTTTTTCTGGTAATGCAGAGAATAAGAACTCCTACATGCACGCCATTTAAAATAACGAAGGAATAGATAAAAGTTGTGCTCTAAAGCATCAAAAAGTCTTCAGAAAACACTTTTTTAGGACACTTGCGCTCTCGGAGCTCTAGAGTAGCTGTCCTAAGTGCGTAATTATCTATAATTTTCGAATGGTGTAGCGAAATTCAAGTGAAAGTTTTAACTTTCTAGTATTTGGGGTACGGGGGTGGGTCTGAAGTGCACCCATTACCCGTCTCTGCCCCCTCCCATTCTCCGTCCCCCTCCCATTCTCCGTCCCTCTCCCATTCTCCGTCCCCCTCCCATTCTCCGTCCCCCTCCCATTCTCCGTCCCTCCTCCCATTATCCATCCCTCCCTCCCATTCTCCGTCCCTCCACCCATTATCCATCCCTCCCTCCCATTCTCCGTCTACCCTCCCATCCTCCGTCTACCCTCCCATTCTCCGTCTACCCTCCCATCCTCCGTCTACCCTCCCATTCTCCGTCTACCCTCCCATCCTCCGTCTACCCTCCCATTCTCCGTCTACCCTCCCATCCTCCGTCTACCCTCCCATTCTCCGTCTACCCTCCCATCCTCCGTCTACCCTCCCATTCTCCGTCTACCCTCCCATCCTCCGTCTACCCTCCCATTCTCCGTCTACCCTCCCATCCTCCGTCTACCCTCCCATTCTCCGTCTACCCTCCCATCCTCCGTCTACCCTCCCATTCTCCGTCTACCCTCCCATCCTCCGTCTACCCTCCCATTCTCCGTCTACCCTCCCATCCTCCGTCTACCCTCCCATTCTCCGTCTACCCTCCCATCCTCCGTCTACCCTCCCATTCTCCGTCTACCCTCCCATCCTCCGTCTACCCTCCCATTCTCCGTCTACCCTCCCATCCTCCGTCTACCCTCCCATTCTCCGTCTACCCTCCCATCCTCCGTCTACCCTCCCATTCTCCGTCTACCCTCCCATCCTCCGTCTACCCTCCCATTCTCCGTCTACCCTCCCATCCTCCGTCTACCCTCCCATTCTCCGTCTACCCTCCCATCCTCCGTCTACCCTCCCATTCTCCGTCTACCCTCCCATCCTCCGTCTACCCTCCCATTCTCCGTCTACCCTCCCATTCTCCATCCCCCCTCCCATTCTCCGTCTACCCTCCCATCCTCCGTCTACCCTCCCATTCTCCGTCTACCCTCCCATTCTCCATCCCCCCTCCCATTCTCCGTCTACCCTCCCATCCTCCGTCTACCCTCCCATGCTCCGTCTACCCTCTCATCCACCGTCTACCCTCCCATTCTCCGTCTAACCTCCCATTCTCCATCCCCCTCCCATTCTCCGTCTACCCTCCCATTCTCCATCCCCCCTCCCATTCTCCCTCTACCCTCCCATCCTCCGTCTACCCTCCTATTCTCCGTCTACTCTCCCATTCTCCATCCCCCTCCCATTCTCCGTCTACCCTCCCATTCTCCATCCCCCTCCCATTCTCCGTCTACCCTCCCATTCTTCGTCTACCCTCCCATCCTCCATCCCCCCTCCCATTCTGGGGAGGGTTAATGACGTGTAGTTACCTAACGTCTGGCGACACCCACGAGCGACACCCACCAGCGACACCCACGAGCGACACCCACCAGCGACTCCCACCAGCGTCCACCAGCGACACCCACCAGCGACACCAACCAGCGACACCCACCAGCGACACCCACCAGCGACACCCACCAGCGACACCCACCAGCGACACCCACGAGCGACTTAAGACATTCAAGATGAAAGAATGTCTTTGATCATTCGAACATTCTGACGTCAAAGATTTTTAATATGTTTTGTTTCTAAAGGAAATATTTTATGACCTTGGTTTACCATATGACGCTATTAAGGTGCTGAATATCGTAGCCTTCGTAGGTAGTAATCGGAAATGGTCTTTCATTTATTGAGCTCCAACGAATTCAATATTTATTATGTGTAAAAATTGTTTTGTGACGGTATTTCGAAGGGCGCTGCGCACCACATTTAGGGATGGAATTCACACATATACAAATTTTGGGGGTTTAATTAAATAAGTATTAAAATCACTGCACTAGGAGTGAAGTGTATTTACTAAGTAAGTTTTGACAATGATCGATGAAGATTCAATACGCATAACAATATCTATATATGCAAGTGCGCGCTGTTATTAGTAATTTTTTGTTTATTTTGACACTCAAAGCTAGCATTAGTCATTACTCGAAAGGGTAATCGCCTGTCGTTCAATCCTGCACAATTATAAATAATGTTTCATTTTAATATATGATCCGGTGGATCAGAGCAAAGAAATTAAACGATATTCGCTCGAATTTTGCATATAGATTATCTTATCTTGTGAAGTTATGGATTTTCAGCTATTGCATAATGTATCTGCTTGAATGGGCTTGCTGCTGAATTAGCGAAGAGCGCAACAAACTAAAGCCCCATCCAAACGCTCAAACTTATCGTCAGTCTTGCATGTCATGCCAAAGTACCAAAGACAAGACGGAAGACTGACGAGCGTCCACATGTTCAAAGTTTCTTTCAGTCTTGTGCGTTCGCGACAATGGAGGAGCTAGTGCTGCTCGCTGCAGTGATCGCAGTTTGTGCCACCATAATTAGGTTAAAGCGAATGCAAACGTAATCGGTGGTCCCGAAAATGGTTTCAAAAAATGCCACAATGAGGATTGATAGACAGCATCCCTACCAGCACGACAGCATTGACGGCTTCATTTGGCACATTCTTTTCGATAAAGAGTTTATTTTCTTCGTTACAAAGTCTTTGTTGGCTGTAGGATCAACTTTTTTGCACTTGGCAATCAATCGCGCATAGGTCAGTGCTCTCTAGTTCTTGTCACTGTAGCTTTTTCATTGAATTTACCACAAACAATGGAAACTACGATATAATTCGATAAACTCACCAAAAGAATTCGTGAGACCAGTGTCGGACATTAAGTGTCGGATATCTTGAGATATGAAAAACGACAGCTAGCGAGGAACAATGTCACAACTCTCAACATCAATATAGACTGAGAAAAAGTAAAAGTTTGACCAATTAGTCGGTTGCCCGTCCACACGCTCAAACTTATCGTCAGTCTTGCATGAACCCAAAGGTCTCGCCCGTCCGTCTTTTCCAGGTTTGTCAAACCTCAAACTCCGCCCACCCGTCATGCAAGACGTCAAACTTTGAGCGTCCACACGCTCCATGCATCTTGTCGTCAAACCTGGCATGACATGCAAGCCTGACGATAAGTTTGAGCGTGTGGACGGGGCTTAAGTCGCACGCAAACTCTAACCTCTCCCGCGCAAGTGTCGGACTGGGGGTTAATGCAATTTAGTATAATTGAATGCTTTAAATATCCTTTTGAAATTACAGCAACGATTTTTATTTGGTTTGATACTATTTAAAGATTTCACACAATCAATATGATTGATAAATCTTACATTTTTTCATGAATGTGAGCTCATCGTTCAAACATGGTTTAACTGAATTAAAATAAATTGTATATATTCAGCCATGTTTAGCACTATTTTCAATTTTAATAAAATTGAAGAGGTTCATTACCCGTTTTGAATTACATCAAGAAAGTGAAGGCGGCACGTGATACATTTAATTAACAATGAACTACTTTCAGTCAGCGCAGCGCAGCACATCTCAATGTCAACATGGTATTCATCCTCGCACAGGCTATACTGCTGCTAGTGCTAGCAACTTTGTACATTTGGCAGCTTTCGACAATTTGTGTAATGGATGCCTAATTGTTGCCTGTTGGGGTTGCAAATGCATGAAATGAAAAGTTTATATTTTTTGTTTTATTCATGGTAACCTGGTAGATGTTTGATTACTCTGTTTGAACTTTGAAGACCGTGAGATGTTATTGTTAGAAAGCAAATGTCATTGTGTGCTGTCACTGTCGTGTCACACTGCAGACTGTCACTTGTGACGTGTGTGACAATAGTATTTGACTATAAATTTTATAGGGCTCTGGCTGAATTATAGCTCGTGTAACACTGTAGGTACGTAGATTTGTGCCTGTTTTATTGATAAGTCTGCAGTTAGCCTACCACTACTAGAATAAGCTTTCTCCTGCGCTTTTGTAAAATATCTCATCATGCCAAACACCCAAACTCGGGAGACATGAGAATAATGAGATAGAAATGTTTAGGTAATTATGATTACCTAGGTGCCTAGTAGGTAGTTTTTCATTTTCTGAGCTTCTTGAACTACTTAGCTAATTTTTTTTTAAAGTTCTGTGACAGTGAAGTTTAAGCTTTGTCTAAGAATTTAAGAAACCTGACTGCCAGGTCATAGAAAATAAAAAATTGAAAGACGATTAGTAGGTAGGCTATATTGAAGGTTTAAGCTTCAAAGTTCAAGGTAATAATAATATTATAAAACTTTGTAGAAAACTCCCATAAAGCCAAACTTCCAAAACATTTTTTACCTACTACATCTGGTCATGAATAAAAATATTTTGATTTGTTTTTTATTAAATAATTTTATCTTCTGGTTAAATTAAGTCATATGGTAGGTACTACAATTAGAGAAAGAATTTTTTTGCATGTATCTGATCAATTGATGTAAAATGAATTTTCTCTACTTTACAGGGCTAAATTGCACTTTCTATTCTATGTTGAGGTTTAGGTAGCCTAGTCTTTATCAACTTTTTTTAAAAGAGGTAAAAGTTTAGAAAAATAGCTAATTTATTTGATCTACCAGAAGCTTTTTTTAAATTTTAATATTTTAATATCAAAATTTTATATTAGTACTGTATCATGAAAGTGCTAAAAGGATGTCCAAAAATAGTAAGTATTAGGTTTTAGATACAAGAAAATTATTTAGGAAATACAAATTGTTAACATTCAAACACTTGGAAACTTGTAGTTGAGTTTTATTTTAGCATTACTCCTTTGTTGTTTCAACAATTACTACAATTTACATCTGTTTGCCCTGATTATTTCACCATTAAAGATTTGTTTATTTTCATAATTTAATTTAAAGAAACCTAGAGAAATTACTTTCACATTAACTCATGAAATTAATCAAATAAATTATGGTGTTTAGATAAATTTGGATTATAGAAGTTCTTAATCATCTAATTAATAATATATGCATAGCTACATAATAATATAAATATATGGAATGCTATCTTCAATGATTTGTTTACCCTCTGCAAAAGTATTATTCATTTGCTCTCAGTAAATAATATTGAGTTAGGATTTAAACATGTGTGTAGATTTACAACTTTTTCCTCATGGCAGGACAAGATGCCATGTTGACAAGTCAATGATTTAAAATTGAAAAATTTGCTGCTTTTTTACTTGGTATTTTGATGTTTATAGAGCTGGATTAGAAAGAATGATACTTTTAGGATGTGTATGGTAAAAATGTTTGATAAGAAATAGCATGCTGAAATTGTTTGAGATCTTGCCTACATCTATTTAGTTGAATGACAATTTGTTGAATGGTTCATACAATGAATATTTATTTGATTTTATATTTTGATGCATCTTCAAATTCTTCATTCAATTTATTGTTGCAGAATACACTGCCTTTGAAGTTTGGTAACCTGAAGAGTGATGGTTTGGCATCCCCTATACAAGTACTAGATGGCCAAAACATCTTCGGTAAATACTCCTTGTCTACTGTAGTAAACCTTCTTGGCAGAAGTTTTAACTTAATTTGCTATTGACATTGCCTAAAAGAAGTGAAATGATTGATGGAAGCTATATTATTCTAATTAATCTTTCTTATTGGACAAAAAGCTGGAAAATAATGAATTCTTAATGTAAACTTCAATTTTCTATCTATTAATTGAAGTTTTAATTCAAGCCTAATTGGATTTTAACTCTGCAAAATAATGAGTTTTTGATGTAAACTTAAATTTTTATTGATTAATCTAAGTTTTGAATCAAGGCTAATTGGATTTTAACTTACAGATATATCTGATTTGTGCTATTTCTGGCCCATGAATTCGTCGAGAGAAGAATTTGGCACTTCTGAAGAAGTTTCTGCACTGCCAAGACTTGGGTATTGCACAAAAAAGCTGCAAGCTTCAGGACCACCAAAATTGAGTACAACTTTACTGCAAATATCATCAAACCATAGCACAGTCCAAGAAGAAACCACCAAATTGTCAACTACAGGTACAGAATTGAGTTTGAAATATTGTGGAAATAGCAGTAGAACAAATAGTAACAAACAAGTAGCCATGTTGTTCTCAAACCGTTGGATTTGCTCAAGGAACATCTACTAATTCTGACTTGTCCAACAGCTATATTGCCTCCCATGCTTCTTGTCAACATGTTTGCAAACATCCATGCCAAAAAATTCTGTCATAGAATAGAAGTGTTGGCACTGAAGAAATAGGCCTCGGCCTGTTGCTGATTCCTCTACTTTTTGTGACTTGCTTGATTCCCCTAGGCAAGACACCAGTTATGGTGCAGATCGATTCTAAAATAATACTTGGTTGTGATAAACTTAATCTTGATACAACACTCCATAATGACGCTCCATTCTATGACCTTGAAATTTTCAAATGTTGTGCAGGTGGACTGAAAATGAGTGCAGGGAGAGTTGTGTCACAAAGAAGCCATGGCAACGCAGACTACGGCAAGCGAGTGCAGCTCGAAGAAATGATCAAGATTGAATTAACTCAGGATTTGAACGGTTATTACATTCATTCTCGCGAGGAAAAAGCTACCTCAGATAGCATATTGATAAACGCTAAAGAACGAACGACAGTCTCTAATTTTGTGAGCTTCACTTTGTCAGACAATGAATACGATGATATTCACTGCAAGATTGCCAATTCTAATGACATTTCTGAAGATATAGGTGAACCTCTTGAACCCAGTCTGCGTTCTGCTTTGCATGTCACTGGTCGCTCTGGCTCCAAAGTAAAGGAACGCTGGCATTCAAAGGGTCAAGTATCTTTACCCTCTACATTGAACAAAGTTCGCGAATCTTCAACCAAGCGAAGTACCAAACCGCATAAAAGTACTACTTTTCTCACTAATCATTTTTGCAAAATTTGTCTGTTAGTTTTTCCAACTGTTGCCAGACGTAATGCGCACATGAAATTACACAGGGCAAATTATCAGTGCAAGTTTTGTGGCAGAAATATCTGTTCGGAAGGACAACTCTTCAGGCATTTCGAGAAGGTTCACCACTTGATGTTGGTGGTTCCTGAACTTGAATTTCGGCGAATATCTGGTCGATTTCAAATCACTGCGACGCCAAAGTCAATAAATTTCGATGGAAGTAGCGCAGTTGACTTTGATAGATCGCAGTTGTCGAACTTATTAGAAGTTTCACAAGTGAAGAAAAATGAACCTCTGTCTAGTTCAAGTAATTCGGAGTGTCGAATTACTCTTGAGATTTCTGAGGATCAGGATGAAATAGTAGAAATAAATGTGAACGCAGCAGAAAGCGCCTCTGATGTAAAAAGTGAAGGCGCTACGGCAGTGAGCAAAAATGAAACTCTGGGTACCAATGAAGATGTGGAATCGCGTTCCGAGTTTTGCCGAGGTCTTGAAATTGATGTCAATAACCAAAGTTCAGCTGGTACACATCCTAGGTCGTGCTTATTTGCAAAGCTCCAAGATGAAAAATGTAGAATGCCTTGCATTTCTGACAACGATCCTTTGCCTGCAGGGCCGGCAAAAGCTTCTCTGCTGAACAAGCGACGACTCCTGTCTGCTCATCGACCCACTCACAAACGTCGTCTTCGCGGTGGCAAGCGTAACATTCGACTTGCCAAAGATAAAACTACCAGACGTGTCATTGGGGAAATTCTTACAACGAAAAAAATTACGCGGCTCGACATATTAAACGATGAAAATACAGAGTTTGAAGTATCCATGAATTGTCGCAGCTCTAAAGCCACTTCCACTGAAACGCCCACTGGAAAGCTCTCGCCTTACCAATTCAACTGCGATTTGAAGCCGAAAATCTCGAAGCCTGGCGTTGATTGTAGTAATTGGAGTGACGAACTTTTTGCCCGTGAACATATTAATAAGGAATCGAAAAGTGTGGAGTTTGATCAGAATTTGATTTTGAAAGAGCGAACGCCGGGTTGTGTTACATCTAGTGATAAGATTGGCATACAACCTCCGAGCAAAGAAGATGGTGTGCAGCAGACTACTTATAACCTAAGAAGTAGGCAAATATACTTGAATAAGCAAACAGAAAATAAGATCAAGAGAATTTCCGCATCGAGTGAAGCATTAACTAAAGCCAATAATAATGTTTTATTTCCTGATAACTTTGCCGATAGAAAAGTTGAGACAAATGCTACAGGCGAAGAATCGATGGAATCGCCTTATCCTCCGAAGCAACTCTGTTCTGTTAAAATCATGGAGAGTCTTGGCAAAGTTACGCATTCCATTCCTGAAGCTAAGCGGGGGCTCAAGTTTCATATAAACGCTTCAGATGATAACAAATGTGCTGAGTCAAGTCATGCGATAAAGTATTTACCGGCAATGAAGAAGTCCCGCACCAAGTCCCGACCAGCCATTGTAAAAAGGATTTCTCTTAGTATTCAAGATTCTGTTTCGCGGCTGCGAGCCATGAAACAGGGGCAAGTGGTTCTGGAAAGCGACACCCCACTAGTAACTTCAAGCTATAAACAATTCCGTAAAAAAGACAAAAGATACCCTTGCCCTTGCCCTCACACAGGCTGCCCAAGAGTTATGGCATCGAAAAATGCTCTAAGATATCACCTGGAAACACACATGAAGTTGTCATTTCCGTGTCAAATGTGCGGGAAAATTTTTGGGCACAAATTAAGCCTGAATAACCATATGCTAGTCCACCAGAAGCCTACATTTGAATGTCCACGCTGTGACCGGAAATTTAGGAAAAACTTTCCACTCCAGAGGCATATCCAAGAAACGCATCAGAGGAGACCAGTCCACGAGTGCCAGATTTGCGCTCAGAAGTTTGTGACTTATCGCGAAATGTATTGCCACCGCAAGAAGCATGATAACCGCGGAGGTAGATGCTTTTTTTGCAATGTATGCCGAACGGGTTTTACCAGAAAAACTCACTTGGCAACTCATGTCACGCAACACTCGGCCCGACCGGACACGCGCTTCATGTACCGCTGTAATTATTGTTCTGATTTGATAGTTTTCAGAACTTACATGTCAGTTAAACTCCATTGCTTACAACTCCATCCCAACGATCAACTCCCGACGGCCTTCGAATGTAGATTGTGGGTTGTCAAGGGCACAGATTTGGTGAGAGATAACTTGAAAATGCGTCTGCCACAACCTCAAGACAATTTTGAAGACGATTTTTCGTTTTCAGACCGACCTGGCGCTGTTAGTCGCTATCACCAAGGATCTGTTGAAGCATTTGGCAATGAAGGCGACATTTACAGTAGTCACATCGAGACGAAATACATGGCAGAAGCACCTCACAGGGAGAATTCTCGGCAAGCCCCTCGTGTCATCTATTTAGCGGAAGGTTCTGCCGTAAACGTTGCCCTGGATTCTAGTGTGACTGCGAATGTTCCGGGTGTTGAAGGGATTCAAGTTGGTTCCCCTGTGGATCGGTCGAGCAAATCCGTCAAACCCAGGACTATTTTCCCGAACAGAAAGATGGACGACGAGCTCTGCTATATTAATTCGAGCTCATACGGTAAGTCGGAAATGGAAAGGACTTTTGATGTTTTTGACTCGCCTACCCATGTGTGTGGCGAAACTCTTTCCCGTGCGTACTTCGACGTACCTAATTCTTCAGCAGACCCTGTAAACACCGCAGACGTTTCTTCTAAAACTGATATCTCTCCAATTCAACCTGCCGACAGTAAATTTTGTTGCTTTGATGTTGGTCCGTCTGATATTCCCATGTCTGATGTCTACGTTGACCTCGAAAATTCATTTGTAGGCCAAAATGTCGAAGTTCCTTTCGCTCTTGATGAGCCTGAATATTTTCTGGACGGCAAAATATCCGACACTCTCAACAGCTACAATGGAACAGATCGTAACAGCGTGAAAGTTGATCCCTTCCTTGATTTTTGGGATACCGAGTCTTCTGAAACTACAAGCTTTGATGGGAGTGGTCTTGCACTGGAGAATTCCAGCTTTTGCGATGACGATAAAAGTTTTGAAAGCGGTTACGCCAGTGGTTGTGCTAGCTACATTACACCGTAAACTCCGTGGAAGTCTGTCTAATGGTGCTTATAATTGAATCTTTTTGAAAGGAATAAGCTATTTGATCTTCAAAACCGTTTTGCTGTACATTTTCTTCCCTTTGCGCCAATACATGAATAGCATTGAGGAAAATGTGTTCTTATTCTAACAGAACAGCGAGGCAAACAGATGCAAACAGAACGCTACCGTATTCATCAATAATGAGTCTGTTGATATTGCTTCATGAGAGCGTCGCAGTCGCTCACGGTGACACCAGAGCTGCGACCCGTAACACAGCAGGAATAATGCAGCTACTAATTATAAAGTTGATTTCATGGAAAGATCATTCAGTACAGTGAAACTAAAATAATTCCTAAAGGTTGATGAATAACGTATTAATTAGAAATTTGATACAGTCAATAAATATTTTTTATGTCCATATAGTGATAGCGTTATTTATTCTACTTTTTCCGCCCTGCACGGTTGAATTTTATGCCTATTTTCTTGACATGATATTATTGAAGTTAATGTTGTGCGATAAAGCTTAACGAGCTCTAAACTAATTCATTCATGTTACGGATAATCTCAACTTGTGTATGATTTTTGCCTTGAAATATGTTAATTTTATCTCTATTAGCAAATATGTTAGTCTTATCTCTATCGGTTGAAAATAGAACGAATATAGCCAGTTTTATGAACGTTTAAACGCTCTGCCTCACAGCTTTAGCTGTGATGACTTTTTAGGTAACCTGCATAAAATTAATTTATTTTTTAAGATAGTATTTGTAGAATAGTTTTTTCCTACTTAATGGGCATTTGTGTGTTAGTGTTACGAGCGTTTATTTTTTGATGGTTTACCAATAGTGTAATTTTGCCTCTACTGTATTTTTGTGGCAACAATTGACGGAACGCCGTAGGCGCTATCGTCTGTTGCTCCTCGTTCATGTTTCGTTATATTTACTGTAATATGGTAAATGTTGCTTTTCGTTGTATTTAGTGTAAACTGAAAGACGTTCTCTTCCGCTATTCGAGTCTGCGTATCGGCTTTTGCGTCCAAACCAGGTTGATGACATGAGTAGTTGTTAGGAGTTCGTTTTTTCCTACTTTATACTTCAAATCACTAACTTGTACATCACTATTGATACCAGTAGAGTCAGTGCAAGTGAGCGACTATGTATTCATGCACACAGTTTGAGTTCACAAACCCATAATCTTTACTGCTTTTACTTTAGAGGCAACGCTCGCTTTTCAGCGGTAGAATATACAAAAAAGAATCTAGTAGTTATTAACATGTCAGCATTTTTTACTTGTGAATGCATTTATTTGTTCAGACGAGTTCACTACACCGATCAGATAGATCGAACGTACGTTTGCGTGTCGCCTTCCCTAAAGATTTCTGATGGGTTACGGTCATCTGTGAGCGAACGTTTATTCATGTACGTGTTACTAGGTAGCTAGATAAGTATTCGGTTCATTTTGTTTGTTCTATTATATTTATTTGCGTAAAAATGCTTTTTTAGAGTAATTGGCAAGAAAAGCGTCTTCTATTTGCTGTTGCTTTTACTTTAGAGAACTGCGTTTACAAATGTTCACATTCTTATAATAAAAACTATCGTAAAATGGACATTTATTCAGTTTCAACAGACAGGACCGCAAGGCAACTGCCCCACTATAATCAGGCTGTTTAAAGATGATCGAGTTAAACTAAATAACTCAGGGATTGCGGTGCAAACTGCGCTCTTATTTCTGACATTTTACTACAGCCACTTGAAGGCATCTGCTAGCAAATGAAAACTCTAATTTACTGGCGCTGTAGGTGGTGCTCATTTTAATTGATTTTCCAGCTTTCTAAATGTCTTCAGGTGCCAATAGCAATAATTTCAAATTTGATTTTAAAGTCTGTGGGTTTTGATCACCTCTGCATATAAATTCCTAATATTCAATGCAATTTTTTTCTAGTTCAATTTAGACTCATCCGAGCAACCGATACTACTCGATTGACTGCACAATTGCCCTATGCGAGGAATACGCGAGCAAATACTGTCTACATATGGACTGTCTACTGAATACTGTCTTCCATATGTAGACAGTATTTGCTCGCGTACTCCTCGCATAGAGCAATTATGGAGTCAATATATAGAAGTCTTCGCTGCAGTAATGCAACGACTTCATGCTTCAGATACTCAGATGCGGCGATAATAGAAGTGGGGGAAGTATCAGCAGCTGCTGCTGCCGTTCTCATCGAAGTACTAGACACACAAGGGGCAAATTTTATCGACGAAATTCTGGGCTTGATGAAATTCGATTGGTCTTTTAATAAAAAATTTTATTTCGTCCATGAAATAAGTTATACAATTAGTAATTTTGAAGGAGAGACTGGTGCCAGCAATACATAGAATGCTGTATTACGGACACAATTATCCTCTGGATTTCCAATCTACTTGCTCGCGTTATTACATCATAATAATGATTATACGAGTTGGTGCTCAAGTAACAAATCAAGCTGCACGAGGCCATATTACACGCTCAGCTACGAGTGTATAGTGATAGAAATAACCTGATACATAAGCCGAACCTGTCAACTTGAAACAGAACTAAGCTGCAGTTCAAGATGAAAAAACTGAGCTGCAGGAAGTGCGAGGTGTAAAAACAAGTGTGGTCTCGAGATGAGTTGCGCAACAAGAGATAAACTTTCGTCCTAATTTAATACATCTTACCATCGTGCGGACTCAACTGCAATACATTCATGCCGTCAAATGATCCAAGCATCGACTTCGTTCATGTACATTAAGCGTGAGCAAATCATAACGGCGCGACCTTATAATGAACTGAACAGGTTTCGAGCGCGTAACAAGTGATGCCGCAAGACTAATAACTACGTATTAAACGCAATTGTTGAGGAACATAGAAACTACTACAAGCATGAAGACCGCGTTCCCTGATCAACGTACAACTGATGTTGTCCTTCATAACAAGCTAAATACGCAACAACTTCACAATAAACAATAATTGGGCTATTACATTCACTGAATCGAGGCCATTTTTACATTCTAGTTCGTTTGAAGCAGCAATGGCAAGCGTAGCTGTCCTGACATGTAGCTCCGGACAATTTCGTGTCCTCCTGAGCTTAACAGTTTGTCAGCAATCAAGTTTCCCGATTAAAATTAAATTATACGTTGACTGGCAAATGCATCAGTAAACAAATTCATCGGGCGTTGCAAGGTAACAATGCTGTAATGTACGCATTTCCTTCACTAGTTTGCTACTACGCTTGGGGCACAGGAGCTATTCATGCTATCGTTGTTAGAGTAATTAGAGTTGTAAATGTGCTTTAACAGAGAGCTTCTCTGATAGGTATCACAAGGTCAAAAATGGATTGAGGACCAAGAGCGGCGCAAGTTATTTTTTCTTTAATTCAAGTGATTTACAGGATATTGAAGTAACTTTTACACACAAAAAATTCACCATTACGTAGCATGATCCATCACTCTTACCCCACGCAGTCCAAGCGCGTCCCAGATATAAACAACCTGAAGACTTATAAAAGACATCGTCAAACTCAGCTTGCTCAATGACCACAGCCAAGCGGGTGACTGAAACCATGCATTTTGAAGCGAAGCTTGGGAAAGCTACGAGAGCAAATAGTCGATGTCTATAAAACTAAAAAATTGTCGGTTTTATTTCATCGAGTGTCAAGTCAAGACCTGGGGGTGAGCAATGCAATTTTGTTCTAGCCATGCGAACGACAATGCCCAACAAAAATAACATTTTATCGACGACGTTTTTAGCGAGTATATTTTTAAAATCAGTGGTGGAGTTAGTGTTACCAAAAAAAAACATTGAAAAATTATTCGTAAAGACGCCCATACATAAAAATAATAAGCCTACAATATTACAAGAAAAATAGTCAAAATGAGCATCACACTCAGACAGAACCTGAGTTATCCATCCCAGTAGCATGAATATAGTGAATTTGTAGTCATAGGAACACAAGAATCGTCAATGCAATAATAGGATGTCATTTTGTACATCAGTTTGTGAAGAGCTTACATTGAATACATCACATCTGAGTGTTAATTAAGAAGACCAAGTACGTCAGAAATAGTCAACGTCACAAAGAAAAATGAAAAAAATTCAACCTCTAACGACTTGAACAATAAATTAAGTGAGCATTAAAAGTTTAGGAAATACGTATTTAATCGCCATAGCAGAGTATTGAAAAGAATCTACAGATGCAACAAATTATGCATTGGATATCTCTTCAATGAAGAACATCTCAGAAGCGCAATCTAAAAGCTGGCTGCTGGCTTTGAAATTTAGTCGCTAGTTCATTTTATTCAATGTGGTCAAATAAGTTGCAATTATTTAACTAACTGAAAGCAAAAGGCGTTCAAGTTTTCTAACTACATAGACGGGAATATTGAAGTCTGAGCTTAATTATCAGCTCGAGACTGAAATGAGAACAAGGTAAAGACATAGTAGGTCAAAACTGCTGAGGGTACTGTTCGCAAAGGTCAAAATATGATATAGGCTACATTTAATAATGAAAGTTTAGCAAACTAAAGCAGGGAGGGATCACACGAAAATAAAACATTCGCGATCAATAAAAAAAATCCAATGGAACGCTAACAGAACTCCAGATTCCTTTGGTGAATGCTACAGCCGAACGTTCAGGTCATAAATCAATGTAGTGCAGGATACCTAACTATATTATACCAGGAACAAATTAACAGTTTCAAGTTATAAATACTAAACAAGAAATTAGACTCGACAGCCGACAGAGTTCCACCTAGCCATTCTAATAGGGCCTTAAGATTAAGTCAGCGACACTATGTAAATAACACCAGTTATATTTGGACAGCTAGTGCAGCACTAAACAAATTATAGGAGTTCCAAAGTTCGGCCATTCGGAGACACTAAAAAGTCAACATTTATTCTTAAACAACAGAGGAGCATAAAACTTGCAGCTAAGTTCTGACCAACAGTTTTGCATGTCAATCGACTTGACAGTCGCTACCGAAATGGTCACTCCCACTCTGTGGTTCCCGGCGGCTTGCTCGTGAGATCATACAAGACTCTGCTGATGCCAGGCACAGAGAGGATCTCAGCCACCATTTTATTAATTACTGTTATGGGAAGATGCTTTGTTGGAATTGCTGGCCGGCCAGTCATGAAATCTTGAGTTATGAACGGACGTAAAACCACACTGCGTTGACATGAACCTGAACGGCATGCATGCGGATCTCTGTCAAAGTGAACGGGCAAAAGAACAACCGGCATTTGTGACACTTTATCCATACATCCCATCTCTGACAACACCTGAGTGGCAAGGTAATCTGCTTGTCGTATAGTATCAACAACATTTGGGGTGAGAAAAGTGGGGGTAATTTCCTGTACTAATTCCTTCACACAGCCGCCAAATATATAACAAACTCGGTTCACGTTATGGCAAACCTTGGGTATGAGTCGGGCCAGTGTTAGCAAACTGTCCCAAATAGGCTCTGCGTTCATTGACAGGCCAACAACATAACTGTAGCTTCGGCTGTCTCCTTGTACACCCACACTTCGTATTGGCAGTAAAGTTGCTTGCAAGTTCTGCATACTTATCTTACGCAAATCTTGCCTTTCACTTTCAGTTGTGCTGGCTTCAATACGAGGTAATAGAGCATGTTTCTTCTCAACACTGGCAGCAAAATCAGTGAGAACTTTAAGAATAACCTGAGTCTCAACGTGATCTCTATCCACAAATGGACTGTCAGCACACAATATTCTGATAGCTAAACCGGGTCCAGGAAATGGATGGCGATCAACAAACTCACTCGAGAGCCCTAAGTCCTTGCCAATCTGCCTGACCTCATCTTTATGGAAGTCTTTCAGTGGTTCGACAACTCTTCCCTGACTTCGCAAGCTTCGCACTAAGTCTGTGTCATTGTGATGCGTTTTAATAGTGCATGCGTTGGTGGTCACCAAAGAGCTGGCACTTTCAATAAGGTCAGGCCTCAGTGTTCCCTGACCAAGCAGCACTTCATTGGGGTCCAGGTTGAGGAGCTGGATCAGATCATTGGCCACTCTGATGTAGGTGTCTCCAATGATCTTGCGCTTCTCTTCAGGGTTGGCGGTACAACACAAGTAGTTTGTGAGGTGCGCACGTTCGCCATTGATAGAATTAATAGTTGTGGTAGCGTCCCTGAATTCATTCCATGCATTAATAACTTCCAATTTTAAGCCTAGCTTTTTCAGACTTTGTTCCACTTGCAGGCTTTCATTTTTACGCATGAAACCATTGTTGATATGAACAGCAATGACTTGCTCAGGACTGAGTGCCTTGTGTAGCAGTGCAGCACACACAGTCGAGTCTACACCACCACTCACCAACATCAAAACCTTCCTGTTGGCCACCGTCTCTTTAATGTATCTAATGCACTCGGCCTCGCGGCTCTCGATGTTAAACGTACCAGTACAGCCCGAAATTTCATACAAGAAACTACGCATCATCTCCATACCATGCTCAGTGAGGTCAACTTCTGGGTGAAACTGTACACCAAAGAGTCGGTTCTTTTCATTAGCAATAGCGGCAACGATGTTACCAGAGGTAGCCACTGCTTTGAAGCCTGGTGCAATTTTATCAACGCTGTCACCGTGCGTGAGTAGCACGCACTCTTTATTGTTCAGCCCTTTGAAAAGTTGGCAATAATTATCAACCTCGATTGTATACTGGCCATCTTCTCTCTCACTTTTCTGCACTACAGTTCCACCAAATTCTCGGTTCATAAGTTGCATGCCATAGCAGATTCCCAAGACAGGAACATTAATTTTGAAAATATCCGGATCATAAGCAGGGGCATCTTCCGAGTTGATGGAACTTGGCCCGCCAGAAATGATGATGGCTTTGAAGCCAAGCTCCTTGATGGAGTATGCAGGAGTATCCAAAGGTAACATTTCCGTTTCAACATTTAGCTCCCTGACTCTTCTGTCGATGACCTTGGCATATTGGGCGCCGGCGTCAAGTATGGCCACTCTCTCACGTCCTCCATGAGCAGTGGGCGTCTTTGGACCACCTGCTATGTCCTGGTCGACGCCATGTTCATCGCTGTCCCCGTTCATCGTGTCTTGGACCGTCCCGTGATCGAGATTTGAGTGATCTGAAATGACGTCACCGTTGTCGTAGCCACGACCTCGGGACTCAGATCTATTTTTACCTTTGCTGCTCTGGTTCCCAATGGTTCTGCACGACAACAGAGTAAGTTTACAATCATGATAATATGAGCTAGAATGACTTAGTTAATCTCAGTAAGTAATTACTTCTAAAAATAATTTAAAAATTGAAGAAGTTCACTAAATTTTGGCATGCAAGAAAACAGAAATAAAGAATAAAGGGCCGACAAAATAAAAATAAACCTTCACTTTTGGAAATAAAATATTTACTGCATAAAATTGTCTACAACTTGGACTTTTACCTCCAACATAGGCCTCCTTAACTGCTAAGTCAGTGAGCTGAGGGAAACATATTACGTATATCAAATACATTGAGTTCCACAAATTCAAAAATCCCATCATCATGAACTACACAAATCATCAAAATCACATAAAATGTTATGAATAACATGTAATTTTACTAGGCAAATTGAGTACTAGAAAATGAGAAAAGGTAACACACACTTTTTGCGTGGAAACATTTAGACAACCACGCAAGCTCCCACTTGGTTGCTTTAGCTTGACCACCTCAATATAATTGTACCGACAGTTGTGGTAGATAACCTGTCTCTGTAAGGGGAGTGTCTGGCGATTTTTGTATCATGGTTATTTACGGACGAATCACTCTGAAAATTGGTACACATACCGTATGTAAAACAGAAATATAAGACTTTTTCTTTGTGTACATTTTTCGAAAAAATTGACAGAAAACGTGAAATTCTTAGAAAACGGCCAAAGAAGCGGCGTACAGTAGAAATTTATTTCCTCCTAGGATATTTAAGCTACAACATCGAGACGCATATCATTCGATGCGTAAGGACCATATCTAAAACTGCAGTAGCCAATTTTATAATTTTTCATTTTTGTGGGTGTGGAGGCATTTTTCGTAAATTTTACGGAAATTTTTTCAATTTTACCCCCTGTCACCCCCCTCTTTTGCAGAATAAAATCCAAACTATAGCGAAATTATAAAAACGCGCTACTCTAGTTGCAGATATTTTTTTGCAAATCGAACGGTATATCTCTCATTGCTGTAGCTTCAAAACTCTAGGAGGAGATAGGTTTTCAGTTACAATAAGTGTGAATGTTCAGAGAGCGCGACAAAGTTCCGATCACCTCGAAATAGGCATTCAAGGTGGCATGGATACAAGACTAGACGTTACTGGAGCTAAAATTCAGTCAAGGATGGTAGGAACGACTGTATGAGCACCATCCAGCCTGACAGCAGCCGGGTAACTAAAGAGCAGCGTCTCAGCGTGTGCTCAGCAGCGAATTTCCGTCCATCTTAAATGTAAAAGAACTCCACCACCCCTAACCCTTTCGCGATCTATCGTGAACGCATAAATCAACGTATAGAGATGGTTTTGTCACCATTGGATAGGTCACAATGTCAGCTTTAACATGAGACTAAAAACCGGAAAAGCCAATATCCAAAATTTTTGGCCAGACGCTCCCCTTAAGCATGACTTGTTCTTATCAAGTTTAGTCCACTGTATATTTTATCTTTCAATTTGTTTCCTGAACAATGCAGTAACTCTAAAGCTTAGCTTTGTACCACGGAATTCATTGAAAGAAAAAGATGAATATAGAAATGCTAAAAATATATGTTCAACAGTTTATACAAAATCTGTCTACAGCATATTATACATATACATAATTTAGAAGTAATGAGGTAATAAAGATATTGAAAACCAAATAACAAAAAATTAATTCTTTTTTTCTGTAACAGATTGGATTTATTCACGACTCAAAATTTTGTTAGATATCCATGAACCTCAGGCAATAATGACAAATACTGGTAAATACTTTTGGATCACTGAAGAGGTTGTATTGATATGTAATGCCAAATTAGTCATTTTTCATTTATTGAACAGAAAGCCATATATATACTGTGGATTAATTCCAACATAAATTGCAGGTGATATATAGTTTAGGTGTCAGATTTTCATCATGATTTTCAAGTAATTGATACATTATCTCATGAAGGTGTATTTAGAGAAAAATTATTTGCAGCACATCCAAGTAATAGCTTTAAAATTGAATGAAGTGCAGGAAGATTGGAGTATTAGCTTCCAAGAAATGCATGCATTGCAGAGAACATCATTACATACCATACCTAATAGAGCTACTGTGTTGCAGATGTAATGCAGGTGCAGAGAGGTGAGGAGATGAGGTGGTTAAGGGGAGTTTGCTGGTGCTGTTTTCGGCTTTAGTGCCCCCACAACACCTGCACCGCACCAGGCCACACTGCAAACAAAATATACAATCAGATCTTGCCAATGACATTCAAGAAGGCTCTTAACATGAAAATCAGTCACTATAATTGGGATACCTAACTAGCTTTTCAAACAGCTAGGTATATATATCTTTCCACAAATAAGATAAACTTTCTTTGAACATGGAAATTAATCGCGTCTGTAAAACATTGATACCATCAAAAATTTCTAATCCAAGACCATATTATTTCTGCTCTCAAGGAATTCTACTGATATTTGAAAATATTGCATGTTTATCTTACCAGGAAAGAAATAATTGGTTGTATCAAAGGCGCCGTTGCATCTGGTGGGTGGCCGCAGTCATGGAGTACAATCTGAGCAAGCTCTCTTGACTTAAGTGTGCCAGGTTTATCTCCAAAAATTATTAGTAATGCAATCGAGACTAGAATTGGCTAAGATATTAATTCAACATGCATAACATCTGAAAATAAATACACTTATTTTAATATTGAAAAATGAATTCATGTGTGTTGATTTTAGAAGATGATAATAGATGAGCTGAAATTATTTTCATTATATTCTGCTATCTTAACAGGATTGCAATTAGCTTTCTATAATCTACTTTTTTGTACATTCAAGAAAATTTTACAAGTGGAACCGGAACTGCCAAACAGGGTAATAAGGGATGAGCGGGGTGAGTCGGGACAGTCCTCTGCCATGGCATAAAAATGTTATAGCAGAGAAACTAATTGAAATATTTCAAAATTAAAAATAGTGGCATAAACTTAAACATTTTTCCTATCTATATCTGGGTCTTTTTAACCTCTCCTAGGTCTTGGACAAATTTATGGCCAGACTCCCAGCAGGTCATATGGCCAATTATCTTATGGCCAAGGTAGTTCCCATCAAACGGGATAATAAGGGATGGGCGGAGTAATTTGGGACTGTCATCCCACATTTCGTAGAAATGTTTTAGCAGCTAAACTAATTAAAATATTGAAAACTAAAAATAGTGGAGTTAAGTTCAACATTTTTACTATCTATGTAGCATAAAGCAAGTTCTGAAATCATACATTTACTACCTTGAAAAAATCCCTGAAAAAAGTGTGAAAAGTGTTTTGGAGAAATGTACCTCTGCTAAGGTCTGTAGCAAAAAAAAAAAATAAAATATTCACCGTATTAAAAATTTTTACTTAAAAGTTGCACACAGGTGCTGGCTTAAAAACGTGATTGACAGAATTTGCGTAATCTCATTCCCCCAAAAAATGGTGGCCATTTCCGCATGATGGGGTAATAAGGGATACCCCTAAAAATGCATTTGCAGCAGAACCGCAGCTAGCAAAGGCTCCAGTTAACAAAAAAAAAAAATTAACAACAAAAAAATTTTGATTACATTTATCTCGCTCATTGCAAAAAAATTTCACTCAACAAAAAATTAATGCATCATTGGTCATCACAATATTGTGCATAGAATGTCAGATAGATTGTGCACCTGGCAACATAGAATGAAAAGTAATTAACCTAAACTACAATTCATTTCTCCAAAAAATATGATGGTTGTCATGAAAATATTCCTTTCTGTTTTTACAATCTATGTTTAAGTATGTTTTTACAATCTTCTTTCGTTATACCGTCAACTGGGATGACTTTGCCATTGGGGTGACTTCGGCCAACGATTATGATTTTGTTTTGTGGCCATTTGTTTCTGTTGTAGTTGTGTTATGTTATTGGAACAAAATGGTACCCAATATAGTTTTTCCTTATCAATCGATTGAAAACTGTTTTGTTTCATTAATTTTATATCCTGCTTGACCAATATAATCTGAATGCCACAGTAATGTAAAGAAAAATAGAGCTGAGTGCAAACTTCAATATTTTGAGATACAAAACGAATTTTAGAACCAGATTTGTTTCACTTATTTTGATATCTTGTATAATGATTATAACAATGCCTATATGTTTTTTACCAAATGTAACATATATGCTTAACACGTTGACTATGTATTGGTACATATGTCATATGCTGCATATGCATACCACGAAATGTATTTCTCCAGGAGGTAGTGGTACATAATTCAGGTTGCCTAAAATCGGCCAAATCCAGGAACAAAAAAGGCCAAAAACGGCCAATAATTCAATGTATACCAGTTTATCTGTAGGTTCCGCTATAAAAATTCCATTTATTTTCATTACCCCCTCAGAGTACCCCCTCCAATTTTTTTATTTTTTGGTTAAATAACTCCAGGTTTTGATGCATTGTAGTAGAACTCTTCTAGTTACATATGCAAATGACAAATTTTAGGAAAGTGTCATAGTTTGCAAATGGGGGGCGCCGCCCCCAAATGGGGTAACTTAGACCACCTAATATCAGCCCTGACGGGGTAACATAGACCGGCTTGGAAGTTAATATAAAATTACCATATATAACATATTTTATGTTTGACAGCCTATTTATGTTTTTCTTCATGTTTCAGACTCTACAGAGTCTTATATATGGTAATTTTAACTTAATTTCCAAACCGGTCAATGTTTCCCCATCACGGCTGCCATTAGAGTCACATTTTGCCCATTTGGGGCAGCGCCCCCCATTTGCAAACTATGACACTTTCCTCAAGTTTGTCATTTGCATATGTAACTAGAAGAGTTCTACTACAATGCACCAAAACCTGGAGTTATTTGGAGTTATTTTACCAAAAAATATAATTGATTTTACCACCCGGTCTAAGTTACCCCAAGAGCTGGGGTAACAAAGACCACCACTTTTTTTGAAATTACATAAAGACTATGAGAGGCAGGAGCCAGCAATTTATGGTGAGTGAAGCTAGAGTATAGACCTGTATTTTGCATGTTTCAATTCAAGTTTAATTTAGCTAGTAAAAAAATGGCATCATTTATAAAAATAAAAGTGGTCTAAGTTACCCCATTTTACATCAATCAATATTCTTTGTTTTTAATCAATTTTTTTCTTAACTGGAGTCTTTGCTAACTGAGGTTCTACTGTAAATGTGCTTTCCGGGGTGTCCCGAATAGCCTCGGGGGGGTGTCTCGAGTAGCCCCGCCGTGCGGAAATGGCCGCCATTTTTTTTTTGTAATGAGATCAAAAATCTGTCAATTACGTTTTCAAGCCGACACCTGGGTGCAACTTTTATGTAAGTAAAATTTTTTAATACGGCAAATATTTTTTTTGCTACAGACCTTAGCAGAAGTAACTTTTCAAAATAGCGTTTTTCACCATTTTTTTCAGGAATTTTTCAAAGCTAGTAAATGTCGTATTTTTTACTTCCTTTATACTACATAGATAGGAAAAATGTTGTTGTTTAGGCCACTATATCTAGTTTAGCAATATTCCAATTAGTTTCGCTACTATGACTGTTTTACGACGTGTCAGAGGTGCGTCCCGAGTTGCCCCGCCAGTCTCGAGTTGCCCCGGTTGACGGTAATAATCACAGAAAATGTCATTTATTACACATCTACATCATCTACAAAGGAAGAGGAGGTCTTCAGAATATACTGTTAGTAATGGATTAGTACATTTTGCATGCTTTAAACAGTTAAAAATTGAGTTTTATTTCAAGTGTCCTGGATTACCCCGTTCCCAGAGGTAATTTGGGACTCTTTTATTTTGTGTCTGGCACCTTATGAATAGCATATGGACTTCTTTTTGGAGATGCCATTTGATAGCCCTTGCAAAGAGCTTCAAAATGAGCCCAAACTTGTTTATGAAATGTTTCAAGGTAAGAAGTTATTAATGAAAATGCTCAAAACTGTCCCTTATTACCCCATTTGACGGTATATGGCAATATGGGCCAAAATTTGCAGTGATTAGGAAATTTCTTCCAAACTACTGAACAAATTTGAACAAAACTTAGTATACTGTCAAACGGGGTAATAAGGAATGGTTTTGAGTATTTTTCGTAACCCTCCAAATTTGGAGGGTTGGTTCCTCGTGAATTTGTGGCTGCCCCGCAACTTTAGTGTACCCATCATAATCGTTAGCTACTTAAAAGTAGGTAGGTACTATATACCTTGCCACTCCCAACAAGTCTCAAGAGCTTGCATTTTAATATATGATCTAGCAATAAAAAAATGCAGTGACTTTTTCTCAAAAGTTTAATCATTAGTCAACCCCTGCAGAAGTGTTGCATCTAATTTTAAGCTTCTTGGTGTTTGGAAATTCAATATATTCTAGCAGGTTTTCTGAAAGTGGTGACTTTTATGGAATTGATGGTTAGAATATCAGGCAGAATTTTCTGAAAATTACAATTAAAACTATTAGTTTGCAGGCAATTTTTGAAACTGTTGGCTCAAAATATAAATGAGCTGTTTTCCTTATTTTTGGGACTAAAATTCCCATAAATCTGATCTATTTCATCAGTTGCAGTTCTCATAGTCATTTCACAGTTTCTCTAGTAAAAAATATGAAACGACTATCTATTTTTACCAGTTATTCTCAAAAATAAATCATGAAATCAGGGCTGAAAAATTCTTATTTTTTTCTGAAATATTGTGGCTCTAATATTATATAATTTCAGTAGGTATGAAATTTAGCAGCTCTACTGTCATTATTTTTTGTTTGATTCATAAATCGCTGAACATTTGCACTTAGCAAACGTGTCATTTCATAAAATTTTGAACTTCCACAATCTCTGCTCAGGCATAGTGGCAAAGCAGAGAGTTTTTTTAGACTCACTCAAGTTCAATTCTGAGTACTATAAGTTGACCAGCGAAATTTCATGGAAACCAGCATTATCATACATAAGAAATTAGCATTAATATTGAGTAAATGAGGAAATTAAAAATGAACTGATTCTAAAATATCTCTGGTTTGCCACAATGATCCTGGCTCCTGCCTCCATAGTGGCAAAGCACAGAATTTTTGACTCTCAAGTTAATTTTTGAGTTCTATTTGTAGACCAGTAAAGTATACTGGATACATAAGAAATTGGTTTAAATTGTGAGTAAATGAGGAAATTAATAATGAACTGATACTGATTCTAAAAATCCATGGTTTGTCACTATGCCAGCCTTCCACCGAAATAATATGCAGAATTTAGGGTAAACGCGGTATATTCCGACATCGTGGGTAATTCCGACACCTCTCTAGTTTTTCCTTTATATTAAGCTTTGTTTTAGTTCCACACATTCATTGATGCTTGGAATAGTGACGTCATACCTTTGCACACCAAACTATTGCCAAAACACTAGGTTTGGGCCGTCTGGCAGGAAAATGTTGAGATCCAAAGAGAGACAGTGCATGCCACCCAGCGAGATCATCGAAAAATGTGTCAAAGTTGATAGTAGACCTTGCTCTACCAAATAGTGATAAACTGTTTGTGTAGAAAGAATATTATGGTTTGAGACTTTTAAATATGTCTGTGAATATATTAGGAATCCTTTAAGTATACTTGTATTTGCTGATTTCAAGTGGTTAAATAAATTAATAGATGATTAAGTTAAGAAATGGATTTAGACACATAAAAAC